AACATTAAGAAAAACCCCTAGCTTTATACACTTTGAACCATGAGTTGTGTACCTGGCTTGTCAACTGTTGAAGTAATGAGAATAGCAAGAGCAAGCTTCATCCAGTTCTCTTCCTGGAGATACGCTGATGACTGCATGCCTGCTCGTGTTTTAGGCAGTGCTCCACTTGGCCTCTCAGACCAGGAAACCAAAGATGTTGAGCTTGCACACCTTCTTTTAGCTTTTGCTGAAAAGGTCGCGAAGCAGCAATATGGTTGTGCAAGAAAACTACAGAACCTATGCCATTTCCTATCTTCCAGCTGTGGAAATTCAGTTCAAAGAGTTGTTTACTATTTTACCAAAGCTCTTCAGGAGAAGACTGATAGAGAAACTGGCAGAAACGCATCTGAGGGCTCAGAAAGCAGAGATGTACTTGCAATGTATTTCCAAGAAGCAATGGCGAGTTCGACTCCTGCTTTAATGGCATGCTTCTTAGAAGTTCCCTTTTATCAAATAACTGAGTTTGCAGGGATCCAAGCAATTGTTGAAAGTGTAGCATCAGCCAAAAAGATTCACTTCATTGACCTTGCAATCAGAACTGGGGGGCACTGCATAGTGTTGATGCAAGCTCTTGCAACTCGATACGAATGCCCGATCGAGCTGCTAAAAGTTACTGCTGTTGGAGTGACATCAAGAGAAAAGATTGAGGACACTGGCAGAAGGTTGGCTCAGTTTGCCGAGGCATTGAAATTACCATTTTCCTTCAAAGTAGCCATGGTGAAAGATATCAAAGATGTCAATGAAGACACCTTTGAGTTAGAGGATGGTGAAGCAGCTGCAGTTTACTGCCCTCTACTGCTATGCAGCACAATGAGACAACCCAATTGCTCAGAATCTCTAATAAAAGTACTCAGATACCTCAATCCCCGTCTGATGGTGATCACCGAAATCGAAGCCAATCACAACTCACCAACTTTCACAAACCGTTTCAATGAAGCACTCTTGTACTATAGTGCTTATTTTGAGTGCCTTGATGTCTGCATGGACAGGGGCAGCGCCTACAGGATGGAATTGGAGGAAACATATTTGAGCCTTGAGATAAAAAATATCATTGCGAGCGAAGGCAAAGAGAGGATAATCCGGTGCATGAAAATCGATGCTTGGAGGACTTTGTTTGCAGAATGTGGAATGGTAGAAGCAGAGCTCAGCTTGTCATCCTTGTACCAAGCAGACCTTGTGGCTAAACAGTTTGCTTGTGGGAGTTGTTGCACATTGGATACTAATGGGAAAGGCCTTATTGTTGGATGGAAAGGAACACCAATTCTCTCTCTTTCTGTTTGGAAGTTCCATGCAGTCAATGCTAAGACTGCTAAATATCTCATGTAATAGCTAAGCACCTATAAACAAACGAAAAAAAAAGAAAGAGGAGATCAATGTTTTCTAAATTTTGTTTTCCTGACAAGGTATCAAGAGTGCATCCCTTTCCCTTGATGTTAGTGGAGAAATTATAACAAAAGACCATGACATCAGCCAAATTAGTAATAGGGAAATTGAAAACAGAATCGAGGGATCCGCTGTCTCCAAATTTCATGTCTCCAAAAAGAATTAGAAAGAAATATACAAAGGGCAGAAATTACACATTGGATCTTTACTTGCCGGCCCATTATCCACAATGGTGGGCCATTGTCCAAAGCTCCTTTAATAAGACACGCGTAGCGGTTCTTTTGCTGCATGGCTACCACGTGTTGGGCAGACGAAGATTGCCCATTGGGCCTGTCCTCTCCAACACAAGAGCGCTTCACCATCTCTCTCCCTCTCACTCGAACAGTCAAACACAGAGAGCACAAGGAAAGGAAAGGAAGAGAGATCGAAGCCGCAGAAAATGGATGGGAAGTCGAAGCCTGGGGTGCCGTACGGCGGGATGACCGACACGTGGGCGAAGAAGCACCGTCTGATCTACATTGGAGCCACCCGACACCCTTTTATCCTCAGCATTCGTGACGGCACCGTCGATCTTTCAGCCTTCAAACGATGGCTGGTAAGTAAGCCGCACGCAATAAACGTGGTTAGTTTAATTACTTCGTAACGGTGTCGTTTCATTTTCCAATTTCTCCGAACAGCGTTTAGAAATTGCAATTTGTTTATTTTATTTTGTTTTTGTAATTTAATTTAAAAATGTTTGGTGTGGCTGTAGGGGCAAGACTACATATTTGTTAGGGCGTTTGTGCCTTTTGTAGCGAGTGTGCTGATAAGGGCTTATAAGAAAGGTGATGAGAGTAGTGGTGATATGGAAGTGATATTGAGTGGTTTGGGTTCTCTGAGTGATGAGATTGCATGGTTCAAGCAAGAGGCTTCCAAATGGGGTGTTGACCTCTCTCAAGTTGCCCCTGAAAAACCAACCCAACATTACTGCAGGTAGTTAACTACCATCTTCTTTTAATTAAACTCAAAATTACTTTCTCAGCATTTAGCAATCAGTCATTAATTAGTAATGTGTCTTATGTCGGTCCACCCCCTGCACTCAAGTTCGAATACCCCCTAAATTAATCTAATTCAAAGTAGTTTAGATTATCGTTTGTGTTCAAAAACTATGCTGGGTTTAGGCCATGGTGAGTATTTATATGTACCAATTAGTCCTCCTTCCTTGGTCCATTATGGCATGCGAGATTTTCTCAATTTTGTTTTCTCCAATTTATTTTCTGTAAGTTTTTTTTTGGACGAAATCTTGTTTCATTAAATAGAAGGTCAAATGCCATATTACATCAAAATGAACTCAAATAATTGAGTTCACACAAACTGCAATGCATACAGACATAGCCCACTACAAATAAAACTAACAAAATGCATAAAGCATACATAAAAGCATTAAGCCCACATAGAGGCGAAGGGTCCACATCAAGGCAGAAAACCCACAAAATGCAAAAGCCCACAAAGCTCAACACAACATTAGGAAACCCTAACACCATTTACAGACATCTGCCGCACAATCCTACAGCCACAAGCCGCGCCACCATAGCAAGCCGACAACCACCAAGGAGTAACCAGTGACCAACAGAAAATGGTGGTGGGCAAGCCACCAAAGCTACACCCAGTAGGAGTAGCACTACCATAATCCAAGCAATAAGTGCGATTTGCACTTTAAGGGCATCCCAAACTCCAACAGTTCCACTGAGGATAGACAACAGAAGAAACATATGTGGAGTCAAGGAGCCGATGATAGTGGTTAAGACCAACTGATGTGACACAGCCTCCAACAATGAGGAGAGAAAATGCATTGCAGAAACCTGTAAAGAACACCAAAACCTAAAACCGAAGCCTTCACGGCCTAAAACACGAAACAAATTAAACTTTAACAAAAGAAGAACGAAAAGGAACTGGCTCTGCAAAAACAGAGCAGCAACCCGTGGAGGAAAAATTTTTGGGGGGGAGGGGGAATGGAAGATGGAGGAGAAGGTAGGGGGAAAAAAAAAGGGGGTAAAGGAGAAAATCAGAAAAGAAATTAAAAGAAGGAGATGGGAGAAAAGAACAGAAAGCAAAAGCAAAAAAAACAGAAAAAAGTGAAGGTAGAGATCTGGAAAAGAGGACAGAGAAGGGAGGAGGAGGAAGGGGGACGAAGAAGAGAGGGGGAGAGGGAACCAGAGAAAAAAAGAAAGTGGGGAGGGGAGGAGGAGAAAAGCCGAAAAAAAACAGACCAAAGAACCAAAAAGAGGGAGGAGAAGGGGGGGAAGGGAGGATAGGAGGAGGAAGGAGGAGCAGAGGGAGGGGGGGGGGGGGGGGGGGGGGGGGGGGGGGAAGGGTCGGGTGACCACTTCTCCCCTGGCGGCGCTAGAAGAGAGGGGGGCTAGGATTCAGGAAGCAGAGAGAGAGAGTTTTACTAGTGTCACAGGAGCTTGGATGGTTCACCAAATGATGTGACATGTGACAGGGGAATGAAGTTTAGAGTGGGCTAGGAAGGAACAAACAAATGATACATAGTTGGGATTAAAAATTTAGGATATTTTTTATGTCAATATTAGTACTAATTGGAGTGGTGTTTTTACAGATTTCTAGAGGAATTAATGAGGCCAGAGGTTGATTATACTGTGGCCATGGCAGCCTTTTGGGCCATTGAAACTGTGTACCAAGAGAGCTTTGCTCATTGTCTGGAAGAGGGCTCCAAAACCCCACCAGAGCTACAAGAGGCTTGCCAGAGATGGGGCAATGATGGGTTTGGTCACTACTGCTCTTCTCTCCGAAACATAGCTGACCGGCAGTTGGAGAAGGCGGCTTCAGGCAGCGAGCCTCTGGTGAAGGTTTCAGAAGATGTGGTGAGCAAAGCTGAAGTAACATTCCTGCGTGTGCTTGAATATGAGGTTGATTTCTGGAACATGAGCTGTGCTGGACACTCTGCTGCTCCAAAACCCTAAGAGTGGAAGCAGGTGATCAGCTTGCTTTGGTTTGTTTACTTTAATGTTCTGAGACTAAGAGCAGTAAATATTAGGCTACAGTTGCACAAATTAAACAACTCTTACCTATGTTTGTGTAAATTAAACTACGCTATAATAAGTCACTGTTTGAGATCTATGTAGCTTTTAAATCCCATTTTAAATCAAACATAGTCTAGTGCCAAAGCTTATGTAAGATTGGAGCAAGTCTCTTTATCGAGCGGTCCGAAAATAGACAAATCTCTCCTTGTATTTTCCTTGGTTGTATAGGTCCCCTTTGTCTCAGGTAAACGAACAGAAGAAACTAAAAGGGGAAGTTCCAAGTAAGCAGGAAGCAAATGTCAAATGACAACATACATTCGTCCATGCTACCTCCTTCATCACTGATGGTATATATACATAAAGTGATGCCATGAATATAATGCCAGAAACAGCAGATTCGATTAATTATTCTATTTACTTTTAAAGCCCCTCAAAAAACAAAAAGCCAGCAAACAAAATGGAACCCCCCCTATCAGTTGTACGCATGCTTTGTGCCAGTATTGCATTACACCAACTGCTTTACTAGTAGTCCTCCTGTATTTCCTTATGCAGGTATTAATCCTCCTGCACCAGTTCCCAGTCGATATCATAACACTTACCCTCATCATGCAGCAGCTTCTGTTCCTGGCCGTCCGTTATATGGATTTCATGATCAATATCATACTCAATCTCCTGCACTCTATAGTTATCTATCAAGGCATGCTCCTGCTGTCTATAACTGCACAATGTCATCCTGAACATGATGCTGTGCCTAAAACGAAGCTCAAGAAGAAAAGCAGGCCTTATGACATTCACAAGACATCTTATAAGAGCATCTCCACCCATAAGGGCTAAGTCTAGGGCAAGGGCAAGCAACGGCTGCCACTATTCACTTGAATAGTGTCAGCCTTACCATTTGTGGTTCACCCATGAGGGCTAAGTCTAAGGCAAATACTATTCATTTTACTTTATTTTGTATTTTTTTTTAATACTTAAACCATTAATTTTGATAAGCTTTTTAGATTATATTTTCGGTGTCACATGTCACTATTTATTATAAAATTCTCACTTAAAATTTAAGATAACATTTTTCGGATAAAATTTTCAAATAAAATTTTTGGATAAAATTTTCGGTTGCCACGTGTCCATATTTATTATAAAATTCACATCTCACTCATCATACAATTGAAATACCTACTCACTCATCATAGAATTGAAATATTCTTGGTCCTCATAGTCCGACACAAGGGAATACAAGGACAACTCCATCATTGGCGGAGGGGGTTCCACCGGATCACGACGTGGGGGAGTATGTTCCTTCGGAGGACGTAATAGTGCCATTATTTCTGACACGGAAAGCACCACTGGAACAGACTGCGGGCATTGTTCACTTGAGGAGCCATGTGTAATGGTTTTCCTCTTTTTTGTTTTCTCATGAATAATCTATTTATAAAAAAAAGGAAATTGGAAATGCAAGAAATATATATATATATATATATAATGACATTAAATTGAATAAAACAACAAATTTTTTTTTACCTCGTAGCCAAGATTTTGACCTCTTCGAAAGTTTGTCCACGACCCTCCGGCTTCGATGGAAGAGGCCATTTGTATTTTTGCACAAATGAAATTTTGTAGTAGATAATTTGGTGTGGAAAGTGAAAAATATTGGAATGAGATGAATTTGTATGAAGAATTGGTGTGAAAAGTGAATAATATTGGTAGGTATTTGTAGAGAAAAAATCCAAAATTTTTTGGTCGTATTTTTTAAGCCAAAAAAAAGGGGGACCGTAGGATTTCTAGAAAAAAAAACCGATTAGAGCGTCCGGGTTGCGACACGTGGCGCATGCCCGTTCGATTATGTCAGGGATGACATCATTGCGCGGTAATTCAAATTTTTTTTACTGTTGGCACGTGAGTTTCATGCGCCAATGGTAAAAAAATTTGACTTCCACGCGCTGACGTCACCGCCCTCGGGCTGAAGCCCAGGAGAAACCTGCCCTTGGGCTTGCCCGGGCCTGTTGTCGCGCGGTGGAGCTCTTTTGGGCTTGTTCGGGGGGCCTCCTACCCGATTTTGAAGCAGCGCTGGAGCTGCTCTAAAGTGGCGGCAATCGAGTTAGACGAAACAAAGGGGATCGTAATGGAGCTTTCAACATTGGTATCAATTATTGTTTTTGTCAAGACTTGAGCCCTAGTCTGTTGAGAGGAAGAAGCATGGAAAGTTAATTGGCAACAAGTATGGCACTCATCGTCGACGTGAGTCAAAAGCTGGGGAGAAGAAGGTCAAGGCCTTGAAGGGCATTAGTCTGTACAAGTAGGGGTTAGGCCTATAGAAAAAGGAACTTGGGATTGCTTGGGTATAATTTGTGGGTTCAAAGGTGGGTGTGGAATTGCTTGCGGTCAAGACATGAGGTAATAGGTGTTTAGTGGGTCCATAGATGAGCTTATTAAGACTTTAGTATTTATTCGGTGGTGGAGATGTGTTGGTTATGGTGTTTGATGTGGGAGAGGAATCAAGAGCCTGCATGGGTATTGGATAAAGTGGTGAGTGGGTGGAAGAGTCTGGAGTAAGAGCAACTCCACCCATTTGCCCTTAGTCATGGCAAGGGGGGGAGCTAGGGCAGCTACTATTCACGTGAATAGTGGTTGCCCTTGCAAAATCCGAATTTGTGTTTCCACCCGTTGCCCTTGCTAAGGGCAGTTACTATTCATTTTTTTGTTTTATTCACAACTTTTTTTACCTCAATAATTAATTTGGATAATATTTTCGGATAAGATTTTCGGGTTCCTACGTGTCAATACTATTCATATCTCATAATCGGATAAAATTTTCAATTTCAAATTTCAGATAAATTTTAAAAAAAAAGGCTGGTATTTATAGAAAAAAATTCATTAATTTTTGGGTATTTTTTAAAAAATTTCCGAATTTTTTCCAGTATTTTATTGCAAAAAAATTGGCTGCCGTTGGATTGGAGGAAAAAATCAGATTGGAGAGCCCAGACGACGCCACGTGGCAACAGGAAAAAAATCAAATCAGCGAGGTACTGTAGCGATACTGTAGCGGGGGTACTGTAGCAGTACTGTAGCAGATATTGTAACGCTACAGTAACCCCCCTCGTTTTGGACCTCAGGCAGAAGTTGCCTTCGGGCCAGCCCGGGGTGGTGGGTTCCACACCCTCCCCGGGCCTGGGCTGCTCCGCTGGAACAGAATTTTTTTTTCCCCCTAGCCTCGGGCTGGGCTGCACGGGTGGAAAGGCTCTAATGGGATGATTGTGAGTAGCCCCATGTGGGCAAGAATTGGGTGTAATGGATGTAGAATTGGGCCCATATGGGTGAGGCGTGAAGCTGGGCTCATCTTCTAAATGAGGCACAAGATTGGGCTCCGTTGCTGGGCTTTCAGCTTCAGAAATTGGCTCGGCAATGGGTGGCACCATGTTGGGCTTAAGTGGTGCTGATAGTTGGCTTGGCCCAGGTAGTGCCAGAAATGGGCGGAAGACATCAGATTCTGTGGAGGACGATACATAAGGCATCAGATATGTAGACCTTACCTGAAATCAAGTCTAAACAACGATACCCTTTGTAATGATCATCATATCCAATAAAGACACATTTAATTGATTTAAATGAGAGCTTGTTGGTGTTGTAAGGAACCATAAAGGGAAAGCAGATACACCCAAAACTCTTAAGAAATCGGTAATCCGGAGGACGGTGGAGAAGATGTGTCCGAGTGGGGAAAAAGGCAATCTATTAATGAGGAAAACTACAGTTGAAAAGGCTTCCAACCAAAACCCTTTTGGAAGATGAGATTGAGCCAGCAGATGTAGTCCCATTTCAACAATATGCCTATGTTTTCGCTCTACAACACCATTTTGTTGAGGTGTGTAGGGACAAGAAATTTGGTGAGTTATACCATGATCACGTAGAAAATTCATGAACACCCGACTTGTGAATTCTCCACCACCATCAATTTGTAGTCCCTTGATTTACAGTTGAACCGATTTTCAATCATTCGTTTAAATGTGACAGGCATAGTAAAGCAATCAGATTTTTTTACAAGTGGATAGAACCATACGAATCGAGTGTTATCATCAACAATAGACAAGGAATATCGGTAACCAAAATTGGAGGCAACTGGTGCTGGTCCTCACAAGTCCAGATGTAGTAAGTCAAATGGATGCAAGGCATGTGAACTTCTGTATTGAAATGGAAGTTTACAAGACTTTCCCATAGGACAAACATGACAAACCTTAGTAGAAGCAACAATACCATTAATGGGTAAATGGTGTTTATTCAAAAGAGTTCGAAAAACTGAGTGAGAAGGGTGTCCAAGCCGAGCATGCCACACATCTTGTGTCGTCCTTTCCGCATAAAACACGATCTTGTTGGTAACATTTGGCACTGCATTGATATGATATAATCCGCCATAACTACTGCCAGTAAGGAGTACCTTCCCTGTCTTGTTGTCCTTTACACGAAAACCATTAGCATTCATTTCAAAGAAACAATCATTATCTCGACAAAATCGACGAATGCTAATCAAGTTCTTTCTTATAGCATGAACACATAAGACTTCATTAAGTTCTAAAGCCTTATGTGTAGTGGATAGATTAGTGTTCCCAATATGTGTGATAGCCAAATGGTTGCCATTACCAATAATTATCGTATCTGTACCTGTATACGGTTGAGCATATGGAAGAGCAAATAGGTTTGCTGGCATGTGGTGGGTAGCCCCGGAATCTAAACACCAACTTGTATTCTCGTTGGGGTTGGCATTTGTAGCTTCTGCTGTATACACATAATTCCCACGTTCAGGACAAACACGAGCAACATGTCCCTGTTTATTACACAGTTGACACATAACTTCAAATCCAGCAATGGGTGTCGGCAAAAGAGGTGGTTTCCCATCTGATAATGAGCCACGTGTGATGAATGGAGTCTGCTCAATATGCTGATTAAAACCAGGCCTGGTTTGAGGGTAGGTGGATTGACCATTTTGCCCAAAATTGGACATGTTATCATAGTTGCGATTCCAACTCATTGATCGCGGGAAAGAGTCTCGATTTGGCTATCCTCCATCTCGGCTAGAGTGGTCACGACTAGTCTGCCATCCCCGACTTTGGTTGTCACGGCTGTGATTCCAACTGTTGTTGTCTCGGTTCCGGCCTCGCCCACGCCCCCTTCCTGAATTCTTGCTGTAACTTTGTGATCTAGAGCCTTGAACATGGTTGTCATCAGTTACAACACGATCGGTGGACAGAGCGACACCGGTGGAAAGAGATAGGGAATTCATTCTTTTTAATAGCTATTCTTCCTGTATAACCAGATCAAAAAATTCGTCAAATGCAAGTTTGGGCCTGAGATGGAGTGATGTAATGAACTCTTTGTACTTGTGTCCAATTCTGTTAGGGAGTTACACCAGTAACCCCCCAATCAATGACACCCATTCAATATAATCTGTAACAGCTTTCAGTTATAGAATTAACTCTGTAATTAGTATAGGACTGTTACCCGAGCAATACCTGTATAAATATTGTATTCCTGTATAGTTCAATATTATCGGAATATAAGCCTTTTCTACATGGTATCAGAGCATTAACCTTCATCCAATTCTTATTTCTTCTTTTTCCAGTTTCTGACTTCTATTCTTCATCAATTTCCCTTTCTTTTCCATGGCATCTTCATCTTCCTCTCATTCTTCGACCCCTAATATTGCTACTCTTGTCTCCATCAAGCTCAATGAAACCAATTATCTTCTATGGGAAAGCCAAGTTAAACCTTTTCTAATTGGCCAAAATCTTTGGCGTTTTGTTGATGGCTCTCATCTTTGTCCTGCAGCCACCATTCCTGATCCTGCGTCTAAAACTACTGATGCGACGCCTGCTACTCTCCCCAATCCTGCCTACGTCTTGTGGTATCAAACCGATCAATCTCTCATCAGTTAGCTTCGTGCCACTCTTTCGGAATCTGTTCTTTCTCAAGTTGTTGGTCTTGACACCTCCCAGGCTATTTGGGACTCTTTGGCCCGAAATTTATCTCAATACTCTGTTGCCAACTCTGCTCAGTTGAAGATGCGCCTCATGTCCATCACTAAAGGCTCCCAGACTATCTCTGAATATCTCAATCTTGCCAAAACACTTGCTGATCAACTTGCTGCCATTCAAGACCCCGTCTCTCCTACTGACTTGGTTACGTATGTTCTTCGCGGCTTGGGCCCCGACTATAGCACTCTTGTCACTGCTACTCTCTTCTTCCCACCTCTTCCTTCCTTCCCGGATCTTCGCACTCGTCTGCTCTCTTTCGAAGCTCAACAAGCCATGACCGCTCAATTGTTCTCGCCTCCTCAACCCTCTGCTTTTGTTGCATCTCAGCGGCTTCCTAGTTCTCCTCGTGGCTCCACTCCTCGTCGCTCCACCAATTTTCGGTCTTCTCATCCGCGTGGGTCCCAATTTGCTGCCCCTCACCGGCCTCCTACCTATCGCTCTTCATCCACCGCTGCCAATGGTGTTTTGGGTCCTGCCCCATTCTCTCGTGCGCCTCGTCAATGTTGGACTTGCCAACAGTTTGGTCATCTTGCTGCTCAATGTCCCCAAAATACGGATTTGTCGCACACCTTTGCTGGCCTTCATGTCAATCACCCCACCGATTCCACTTGGTACATGGATTCCGGCGCCACCAATCATATGACTCATGCCCCTCCCTCTATTTCCTCCCGTACTTCTTCTGACCACGTTGTTGTTGGTAATGGTGCCTCTCTTCCTGTTACTCAATCCGGTAACCTATCCTTCTCTTCTGGTAATTATGTTTTCCGTCTCTCTGACGTTCTTCATGTTCCTTCCCTCTCTAAAAATCTTATGTCTGTTGCTCAACTCACTCGAGATCTTCTTGTATATATTACTTTTTATCCTTGGGGTTATCGTATTTGTGACTTACACTCAAGAAAAATTCTTTTTCAGGGCCAATGTAAAGATGGTCTATATCCTGTCCTTCCATATCTTGTTTCATCTCTTGGGTCCCAGCATGCTCTCGTCTCCACTGTCAATTCCTCTTCCGTCTGGCATCGTCGTCTCGGACATCCTTCTGATCGTGTTCTTGGCACTCTTGTCACTCAATCATTATTAGGATCTCGTTTTTCTTTGAAATCAAATAACCTGTGTTGCTTCATCCGATACGTATTCAATAAATTCTTCATCCGACATGGAGGTGCCGGCTGCTGTGAGGGGGTCTAAAAGTGATTTGGCGTGCATCAGGTAATCAGCAATGGGCTGTTCAGAATCTCTTTTGATGGTGCGGATTTGATCCCGCAAGGTACGGAGATATGTCTTGGACAGTGGAGAAAGCCTTCGTTCAAGTAAATCCCAGGCTTTGTGGGCCGTCGTACATGGGATGAGGAGAGTTTTGATGGTTGAGGATGTCGTAGCTTTAATCCAACTCAGGACTAACTTGTCTTTTGAGTACGCTGGATTTGGTGTTCCATCTGTAAGCTTCTTCTGGGGACGGGTCTCATATGTGATGACATCTTCTAGATCATGAAGTTCTAGAACGTCCATGGCTTGAGATCTCCAAGACAGATAATTATTCTTGTCCATAGGTGTGGTGAAAAGATGAGAGATGTTGAAAGAAGTTGGGATTGGAAGCATGTTGTCTTTTGAGGTTGTATCTGTGGTTGATTTGTTGGGATGAGAATTGACAGAGGAGGAGAGAGGAGAATCTTGAGTGGTTGGTGAGGTAGGTTGAACGTGAAAAAAAAAAAAAAAATTCAAAAAAAAAAAAAAAAAAAAAAAAAACAAATGGGTTTGGATAAGCCCCACAAAGCTGCGTGGATATGGCCCTCACCTTATGCTTGTTTTCAAAACAAGTTTGAAACACTTAGGAAGTCATATTGTTCCTAATCTTTTGCCTAGAGAAAAGGAAGGGAAGAGGATAATCAGATAACGGGGAGGAGGAGTCCAATTGGAATGAGAATTCTTCCATCTCAAAACTCTCTCACAAGCACTTTATAAAAAGGAGGAGAGAAAAGAAAAAAGGGGACAGCCGACAGGCTGCACAGGGATCTGAAAAAGAGCCTGCAAGGCCACAAAGGCAAGGGGAGGCAGCCGTGAGGCTGGAGGAAAAGAAGAGCAGCCGCTGATTAACCCATGGGGATTCTTGGCTATATATGATCACATATTAAGTCAAGAAACTACCCTAAGGCGTACCTCCTCTCAATTACCTCCAGAACATCCAGCTATGGATTGACAGCTAAGATGATTTCAATCATCGTGAGGTCAAGTCCTGATATGCTCCAAGGTGCAGCTCTGCTCAGACGCTTCCAGGATGTGCTCAACATCCAATTCACAAGCACTCCGTAAGGATGGCTTATCATGATGGGCTAACCATCACAAAACCAGAATTGGTTTGCGGTGCCATTAAAAGACGTAGAGAAACTCCCGGAATTCTCCGGGCTTCTCTTACTGCATGGGCATAATGGCGAAGCCCCGTTCAATGTTGTTCATGTCTACCGAAAAAAATCACACAAGATAGAATGGATGAAGATGTGGAGGTGAACCCACCACGGAGTCAAAAGCTGAGGAGTGTGTGTAATTACCCCCTCAAATGGAAGTTTCAATCCTCTGTGTGAAGCCCAACAAATCAAAAAGACCCCACGGCAATTGAATTGCCTTCCACATGAAACACTTGCTGCCAGCAAGTCAACAAAAAGGAGCTCATCTCTATAAAATCCATACAAGCACAAATAATCAGACAAAAGAAAATAAGCAAAGGAAAAAGGAGTTCATGGGGGTGGGTTACCACGTGAAAGCCAAGAGGATTTCTTTTTCCTTTGTCTTGGGGTTATTGACCTTGGGAAAGTTTCAGCACACAAGGGACAATAGGAGAATTTGTCTCTTTCGGTTCCAAGTCACTTGCGAGACTGAAGCCCAGAAGCATCCAATTAATTGGAGGGTCTTCTATTGCTACTACTGTTGCTGTCCATGCAAAACTCCTAGTTAGTTTAATCAATAAATAAAATAAAAGAGAAGAACTAAAGAATGGCATGTGGGTTACCACGTGAAATCCTCTTCTCTTTGATGGTGCAACAGTTGGCTTCGAGCAGGGCTATGTGCTGGTCTAGAGAAGCAAGCAAAGAATGATATTAAGACTTTTCGTTCGTTGTTGTTTGCTGGTGCACATATGTTCTCTTTTTATAAGGAAAAACACATATGGCCCAATCCTATGTGGACAAGGAGTTTACTTTACTAGATGATTCAGCAGTTCCAAATCAACAAGGAGCTTAATCCATACTTCACTTGGAGAAGTATTTTTATCCTTCGGGTGTCTTAATCAAATTGAAAGACACTTGTTAATGGCACCAATACATGAGGGGTCCAGCTGGAGCAAAGCAAGGCCTTTGGTTTATTACGTTTTGCTGAATGTAAACATAAGAAAAAAAGAATAAAAGCCTATGGAGGTGAACCCACCTCATGAAAATAAGAAGAAAGTGGTTTTATTCCCTTTTGTTCCAATGCCACTTGCACAAAAGTCAGACTCAAGACAAAGCAAGCAAACAAAATAGCCAAAAGGTCACCAAGGACCTCAGTTTGCCAGTTGAAAGACCATGCGGGTTGTCGCCTTGAGCTAGAAAACGCGATCAAGAAAGCTAAGGACTTGTGAAGGTTCAGCTCATTACCAAATCGTTCACAGCAATAGGCCCAACGCGAAATTACAAGATTTGATGGCCCAAGACATAATGGTCTCATACCCATGGGGCTCGTCTCACATCTCAAGATCAGGCAGTCTCAAGCCGACATTCCAAGACTCGACAGTCTCAAATACAACGAGCTTGGTCATTAAAAAATTCCAATTGGTGAATAATTGGTACAAAGTCTCAAATCACAAATTATGGATTAATGGGCTCAAACCAAAAAAAAGAGTTCCATTAATTCCCAAATCGCCAAGTGAAGACCCAAGTGGTACAAAACCACACCAATTTCTCAAATGCAAATGTCAATTGTAGAGAATTAGTGGGTTCGTCAAAATTGCTCATTATTTTTCTTGGACATTGACAAAAAGAAAAATGGTACAAAGCCATCCAATTTTCCCCATGGGTCATTTACCCATGCTAATTTCAATGAGATGAAATTCAAATCTCTCAAATACAAATTCTCAATTAGTGGGCCACACTCACCCATTAATTCCCAATTTTTCTCATGGGTCATCTACCCATGAAAAACTCCAATGAGATTAAATTCAAATATCTCAAACACAATTTCTCAATTAGTGGGTCACACTTACCCATTAATTTCCAATTTTTCCCATAGGCCATCTACCTATGAAAATCCCCAAATTGTCTCAAAGACACAAATTCTAAATTATTGGGTCACACTTACCCATTAATTTCCAATTTTTCTCATAGGTCATTACCTATGGAAATCTCCAAATCGTCTCAAAGACACAAATTCTAAATTATTAGGCCACATTTACCCATTAATTTCCAAATTTTGGAACTACGCTGGTTTGATCCCATCAAGAGTACGTAGGCAGTCTAACATCTAAATAGACGCAACCGCAACCAAATTCTCACCAATCAAATCTCCACACAAATCAAATTTCCGAACTACGTTGGTTTGATCCCTTTGAAAGGGTACGTAGGCAATCTAGATGCAACCATCCCAAACACAATTCCATATCGAATCCCTGGTTTATTCAGCTAAATTCAATCCTTAATCAAATTCATTCAAATTCCTCCTTTTGCAATGAGTCATCTACTCATTGCGAGTCTTTGAACTACGAGTGGCTTGATTCCTGCAAGGGATATGTAGGCATCTTGAGGTTGGACTTGGGAGCAGCTGCAACATCAAACACACACACGTTCTGTTTCTTTATGATGGAATCAAAGGGTGTTCCCTTGAAACAAGGGATTGTAATTAAGAGACTCGCATCTTAAATGGGTCGAACCTAAAATAATAAAATCACATTATTTAATTAGTTGTGGTGAAATTATGCAGAGAGGATCACATTTTCCTTCAACAGTGAGGATCGGTTTGAGCGCTAGCTACTGCTAGGCTCTGATACCATATAGAAAAAGGAACTTGGGTTGAGGAAGAAGATAGAGCAAATAGGCAAGAAAGGATAAGAAGGACCCGTGGGTCTATTCTGTATTGCTGGTTGATTATATAATTACATGGTCATTGACTAATACCGTGATATTTACAGTAAGTACCTGATGCTAAGCTAAAATAAAGGCATACAAATGGTATGTGAATAAGATAGAATAAGTAAGAATAAGTAATGAGCAATCAGCTGTGATTTGGTAATAATTGGGGAATGACTTCCCAGAATCACGCCCATCATGACATGAATCATGGCTGGTCGTGTGGGCATGTGCTACCTGTACGGTGGTGTTCTCTTCAAGGCCTAGAGTTAGGATAGAAGGAATTGGTTTGTTTTAAATTAGTTTATTTATATATATATATATATATATATATATATATATGCTTAGCTTAAGTAAAACATATATGTTATTTTGGGTTTCAGTTGAAAGGTCTATCAAGTAATAATTTGAACAGTTGACGTCTTGGCCTGCTTCATCTCCGATATAAACTCCTCTAACGCATCGGGGTTTGTCAAATTCTATATACCAAATGATACGAAAGTCTAGCATTATTGGAGACGAATTGTGTGGAGAAACTCACTTGGGAAAACCTACCCATGCAATATATATTTCATGCTGGGCCTGAAATGAAGCCCAAGAAAAGCAAACCTTGATCATGAAATTAAAGTCTTTTTATTTGGTGAACTGAAATTTCATTCGTTCAAAGTAAATAGTAGATAAGAAAAGTGACATAGGGAGGTCGAAAACGTTAGTAGTGTTCACAAGTAGCAGGTAATGGAGGTCCCTACCTCCCAGCCCTATTTTCTCATGTTCAGATGATGAAGGTTTATTTTATAAAAATTGTTAGTAATACTACATTTTTATACCACCTTGTGAATACTTTTCTCTTATTTTATTCTCTTCAGAAAAAGAGAAATTCCTACTTCTTCGTTTGTGTTCACAGGGGCTAAAAAACAGGTTTTCCACACGAGAGTTTTTTTATTTTTTTGGGATTATCAAAAGAAGACTAAACCCTCAGACCCAAAAAAGATGGCTAAAGAAAGAAGACCACCAAACCACCTCACCGAACCTCTTTAGTGGCGAAGCCAGAATTTCTTGTGTGTGGGGGCCTCTCACAAAATATAAACAATAAAAAATTTGAACTCACAATACATACCAAAACATCAAAAATCATATTATGTATTCATTACAATCATCATTGTTCTTGTCCAGTTTTCATATTTTGAAATCGTTGCATAACAACCTCGTCATCTATTGAAAATGTCTCTCTCAATATATGCAACGAAGCAATCATTTATACATAAATTGAAAAATCTATTAAAATCAATAAAAAGAAAAAAGAAATCAAAATTTTATGAACTAAAAATAAATAAATAAATAAATAATAAAAAAGAGAACTACTAAGAAAACTTTAATTGAATAAATTAACCTAATTAAAACTTGATAGTTAAATATGGAGTTGAGAGAAAAACTCACAGGCAGTGCATTGAGAAAGTCTGCTTTGCTTGTGTATCTCCAAGAAAGGAGAAAAATGGGTTAGGATTTTATCAATTTTTGTAAAAGGGTAAATATATAATAATAAGAGCCATAAACCTTTGGGGAAAGGAAAGGAAAGTGGCTTAAGCTTGGCGGAAAGGAAAACAGGATTTGGCTGCTGGCCCACGTGGTAAAATAAACATATTAATTAATATAGATTATTCAATAACAACAATACATATTACATTTTAAAAGAAAGAACAAAAGTTGAGTGGGGGGCCAGTGACTGCACTGTCCCTACGTGCCTCCGCCCTTGAACCTCTCCCATCCCTATCGGCGACTGTACCCACACACACACTCTCTCTCTTAGCATTATTGAAGAATATTTGTGTAGAGGAGAAACACCCCTGCCACGACGCGGTTTCGTCCTCCCCAATGCTTTTGAACTCTTTTCTTCATCACTCCATAAAATATATACGTAAAGAAGACTTAAAAGTCCCGGAGACGACTTCACACTTGCTACGAATTTAATATCAAAACCCTAAAACACAAATTTGGGTTGCGTTTTCCCTACGTTGTGTATAAAATATAGACCTCATCAGATATCAACTTGAGTTGCCAAGCCATTGACCCAATCAAGGTGGAAAAAAATGTCTACAGGCCACCTTGTTCCCAAGGGAGCTCCCAGTACAACTGGTCATCCCGAGCAACCAGTTTCTGAAGATACTTCTGATTCTAAAGTAACCGTCGACCACCAAAACAGCAGCAGCAGCTCCAAGTCCCCAGAAATAAGGAGCTCCAAAAATCATGCCGCTCTCAAGCCCAAGAAAGAGAAACGTAATAAGAAAAGGAAGAAGAAGAGCAGAAGTGGCAATGAGACGAAGAGCATAAGTGGCAATGTCTTCAGAATTGTTGGCAACAAAATTGAGGCCAACAAATCTAAGCAGGTTGGAGTTTTCGGCTTCGGCAACACGCACAAAAACAAGTCGACACCAGTAGTGGAGAAACCGACTCGGTCCCCCAGTGAAGAAGAAGAGTGATGATCACTCAACCGACCCTTCTCCCCTCCCCCCTTCTTGCCTCCTTGCTCCTCCTTGCTCCTCCTATCCTCCCTTCTCCCCCCTCTCCTCCCTCTTTTTGGTTATTTGTTCTGTTTTTTTCGGCTTTTTCTCCATCTTCTCCCCCTTTCCTTTTTATCTGGTTCCCTCTCCCTTCTCTCCTTCGTCCCCCTTCCTCTCCTCCCTTCTTTGTTCTCTTTTCCAGATCTCTACCTTCACTTTTTTCTTTTTTTTTGCTTTTGCTTTCTGTTCTTTTCTCCCATCTCCTTCTTTTTAATTTCTTTTCTGATTTTCTCCTTTACCCCCTTTTTTTCCCTACCTTCTCCTCCCTCTTCCATTCCCCCTCCCCCCCAAAAAATTTTCCTCCACGGGTTGCTGCTCTGTTTTTGCAGAGCCAGTTCCTTTTCGTTCTTCTTTTTTTGTTTCCTTTTTCCTTTTTTTTAAGTTTAATTTGTTTCGTCTTTTAGGCCGTGAAGGCTTCGGTTTTATTTTCTGATGTTCTTTACAGGTTTCTGCAATGCATTTTCTCTCCTCATTGTTGGAGGCTACGTTACATCGGTTGGTCTTAACCACTATCATCGGCTCCTTGACTCCACGGATGTTTCTTCTGTTGTCTATCCTCGGTGGAACTGTTGGAGTTTGGGATGCCCTTAAAGTGCAAATCGCACTTATTGCTTGGATTATGGTAGTGCTACTCCTTCTTGGTGTAGCTTTGGTGGCTTGCCCACCACCATTTTCTGTTGGTCACTTGTTTCTCCTTGGTGGTTGTCGGCTTGCTATGGTGGCGCGGCTTGTGATTGTAGGATTGTGCGGCATATGTATGTTAATGGTGTTAGGGTTTCCTAATGTTGTGTTGAGCTTTGTGGGCTTTTGCATTTTGGGGGTTTTCTGCCTTTATGTGGGCCCTTCGCCTCAGCGTGGGCTTAATGCCTTTATGTATGTTTTATGTATTTTGTTAGTTTTATTTGTAGTGGGCTATGTCTGTATGCATTGCATTTTTTGTGAACTCAATTTTGAGTTCATTTTGATGTAACATGGCATTTGACCTTCTATTTATTGAAACAAGATTTCGTCCAAAAAAAAATTTTAGGGTGTACTCGGTTAATTTCTTTTAGCAACACTCTTTCAAAAATAAGGATGATTTTGAAAACTAGATTTCACTTTTTTTAAAACTGAAAACGAAATTTGTTACCAAACATATTTTCAATTTTTAGTTTTAAAAAAAATGAAAATAAAAACTGAAAGCTGAAAATGAAATGGGTATCAAACAATCCCTAAATTTATTTATTTATTTTTATATTTTTGTATATGCATGTTTAGCTCAAGTAAAAAATATATATGTTATTATGAACAATCAGATTGTCTATTATCTCTTCAAAGAAGAGGCAAACCGAAAAATATTTAACTTTACAATTAAAGAGTTCACTTTAGTGTGTTTTGGAAATACCGTGTTCGCAATTGCATGTTTTTAATAGTTGTTAAATTTGTCTTATTATGTAATGTTAAGTTAACTAAAGTGGTAAGCCACTATGCGGAAGCGTGCCCCTCCCTTAGATACATGGCAGCAATTACGTATCAGTAATGGAGAAAGTAAGGAATAAGAGAATTTAGGAATCGAGGAAGTACTGAATCGGTATGGGAAGAATCATTCTCATTAAGTTGTTTACTAAACATATGGAATTAGCAAAGGAATGGGGTTGATTCCCATTGTTATTGTTTACTAATTTTCATAAATCAGAATCCAAATTAATTTGATTACTAAAATGCCCTGCACATTTTCACCACAACACATATAATTCTCAAATTGGCTAAGGAGACCAAACTAATCCTGCAGCAAACCAGTAAGGCTGTGTAAATATGAGAAATCAATATGCTGAACAAGATGAATAACAACAACCCAGTTCAATGATAATGTTAATAACACCTTTGTCCAGAGCCAATTTCAAATGAAAAAAATAAACTCCAATAAATATATATCTTTCACCTATGTAACTAGTAAACAATCAAATAATAATAATAACCTACATAATCTTCTTACTACCAAAAAAAGAGATATATAATCTCCACAAAAGTCATTCACCAATTACTCATCAATCACAATTATTGTAAGCCATGCTCCATAAAATTAAATACATAATCTTTTTTTTCTTCATCAGTCATGGTAAAGAAGACCCCTAGCAAATCGTGCTTTTTGGCTATAAAACGTTGGTGATATATATATATATATATATATAGGTTATTATATATATGCATTGAAAAAGAAGTTGGGGTGTCTCTGAACTTCTTGGAGTGAGTTTTTATATTTTTAGGTTTGGGGGTGTTTTGGAATTATAGTAAAGTGGTAAGTGTATTTTTGGAAGTTAATAAGGGAAAATAGGAATGAGAATTGTATCGACTACTCCCTACTAGTTGATCTGATACCTAATTTTGAGGGGATGTGATTACAGATTTTGAGGTGGGGTCCACTTATTTTTTTATTTCCTGATTGCAAGTAAATGCAGGGGAAGTCAAGAATGGAAATCATTCCCTTTCCTCCCATACCCAATACTGATATGTAAACATACCCATATTTACTTGCAATTAGGAATGAAAAAATGGATCCATAATCACATCCCCTCAAAATTAGGAATCATATTAACTATCCGATTCCCATTCAGTTTTCCCTTACTTTTTTCCAAAAATACCCTTATCACTTTAAGCTAACAATATGAATCCAAGGTGAAAATATGTCTATCGGCCACCTATTTCTGAAGCCTTCGATTGGTGATCAGAAGAAGCAAGGTTCTTCTGAGGAATCTAAAGCGATCATCGACCAAGAAAACAGCAACAGCTCGAGAATGAGTGCCACTCTGCAGCCCAAGAATGAGACTAGTAAGCGAAAAAACAACCAAGGGCAGAAGAGGTAGTAATGGCTTCAGCATTGTTGGGAATAAAATTAAGGGGAATAAATCGGGCCATGTAGGAATTTTTGGGTTTGGCAACAACACCCGCATCCATAAAGGCCACCACAAGGAGAAAGGAAAACATGTCCACTCCAGTAGCGGAGAAACCGACTTGGCCTCCAGTTCTGAAGACGACGAAGCAGTATTAACTAATTAGGCATGCTTGGTTGGTTGTACTGGACTGGACTTTGTGGATTTTGGTAAATGAGTTGATCCAATTTGATCTCAGTTGTTCTGGGTAAATGAATTGTATTTAGATCAGACGTTCGATGTAAGTCTCAATCTCTTTGATTGTATTGGTTCTGTAATTTGATGCGTTTTAATTTTTATTTTTGTGTGTATTTTCTTTAAAATAATTATTTATGATATTAAATAATGAAATATACTCTAAAAATTAATTTTAAAAATCGAAATTCAAAATTAACTACTTGTTATTTTTAAATTTTATTTTAACAAGTCTCTCTGCACGCGCTTTAGCACCTGTGAGAGGTTTTTTTTTAATTTTTAATTTATTTTATATTTATAAATTAAAAATTTATTTTAGAATTAAAAAGATAATGGATAGTTGTGTTCCATAAAAATAGGATTCATTATCTGATTTTTCTTTTAATTTAAAATTTTTAAATATGAAAAGTGTGAATTTACCATATTATCCTAATTTAATTAATAATTTCAATTCTTAATGTTTGCATTAATGAAGGACATTTTCTGATATTTTGAATGTTTCATCATTCTCTGCCTTTTGCTTTATTTTATTTTAATTTATTAAATAATGATTGATATTTCTTTTATAAAATAATGTTGATTTTATTATATCAAAATCCCAAAATTTATCAATATCACATCCACCACACCACCGCATAATTATTCCTGTGACACACATCGTGCCGCATGCCGCACCACTAGACTGCAAGTCATCTTTCCCTATAATTCTTGTTGCATTATATGCTTCTCAAATTCCATGAACAGACCAACTATAGTATATATTTGCGCTTCATGTCCTATGCATTAATTCATGTGCGAATGTGAAGAGATGTCTTACACTGGAAAATTAACAAATTCATCAAGAACTTATAAGGAGTTGGGCTACTTCCCCTATTGCCAATTGGTTTTGAATTGGAACTTCAACTTCTTTCATAGTATTAGAGTTAGCTTCTCGACCTGACAAACCCACAAATTGAGTTGAACTGAATTGCGTGACGGTTTTGATCTTAGTATTGATCAAAGAGTTAATAGTACAACGCAAAATATAACTAAATTCTTCGAGTAATGCACAGGAGAAAAATTTGAAGTTTATGAAAATAGAATTTTGGTAGTGAAATTCTCAATTATTATCTTAATGTCAATAATGTATTATTAGTCCTATTATGATATTTTCACCAGATTCAATCTTTCTATAGATGACAACGAAGCCCACTAGCGGCTCATGGATGGAAAAAATTCCCGCACAGCCGGGTTCACGTCGGATACCCGACCCTAACGAAAGGAGATTTTGGAGCCAAACGGGTATCGAGTATGGGGATCACTGAACTTGAAAAATCCTCGACGGGTATTTGGAGGAGATGGTATTGGCGTCCCCATCCCCAAATCCGACCTGAAAATATATATATTTATATTTAAATAAATAAATATAAAATTATAATATTTATGTTTAACCATAAGTTAAGCTCCTTCAGTTAATTCTTCCTAATATTCTCTAAAATTTTATATTGATGTGATTTTGTATAATTGAGTTGAACTTTATAGTTAATTTGGATGTGTTGAATGATAATTTAATATGAAACTTGATGTTAAAATGTATGATAAATATTTTTTATGCAAAAAAAATCGGAGATTCGAGACGGGTATAGACTGGAATGAGTTAGGAGATAGGGGTGGGGACAGAAATAGCATTGTCATATTTGGCCCCTATCCAATCCATTGCCATCACTCATGAGTCATGATTTTTTTTTTGCTCGAATCATGAGTCATGATTATGTACAGGATCCTGGCAGACTCTTGAGCCCGAGTGGGCCCCTTGCCAATAAAAGCTGAAGACCACGTGATTTACTTTTTTCTCTCCACAAAACCGCCCACGTGATTCACTTATCACCTGCCAAACCAAATAAGGAGTTTCACTAAAACACCCAAAATGGAGGTTGAAATTATAAAAAAACCCAACACCCAAAACACTTTATAAACACACCCGAAACCCATCATTACACACACTCAAAACCCATTTATAAACACACCCAAAAAGTTGACTTTGTGGTTGATTTTGAGTGTGTTTATATGTTTAAATAGTACTTGGGTTTTTTTTATAAATACATGTCTAGGATTGTGTTTATTTATAAATTTGTAAACCAAATATACACGGGGCCCGCTAGCGCATAAAATTAATAAAAAACCTGATTCTTGTATTCATACAAGATCCAAAGGCTGCCGGTGATTCCAACATTTAGTGAGAATATATCTACGGAGCAGTTTGAGAACAAAGTGCAATTTCATTTTTTTTAAACCTCTGAAAGTCTCCTTGATAAACAAATTTAAAAAAAAATACTTCTGAATGCCCTTTTTTTTTTATTTTTTTTATTTATGTCTTTCTTTTCTAAACACTTTTCTTTGCAAATGAAAGCCTCTTTATTTTTTTTTTGGGGAAATCAATAGCTAGTTTTTTTTTAATTAAAAAAAAACTCTAATAACTTTTTTTAAAAATAAAAATTATCTAAACATTTTTTCCCTATAATACTTTTTTTAATGCATTCAAATTCCATACAACTAACTAACAGTCTTCACCATTCACCTTTCCTTTGCTCAAATTTCTCATTCAACGTTGTAATTCTATGTGTTTTTTTCATTTATATCTATGCAATACAATGTTGTTCTTAATCTTGTTAAAATTTTAATTTTTTTTTTAGTTTAAATGTTCATAAAAATAAAATTAAAAAAAAAAAAAAAAAATTAACAAAAAAAAAAAAAAAAAAAAACATGTAAACTAAATTACATCATAAAAAATATATATATAGCTCTCGATATAGAGCTCCTCATTATGGGAAATATACTTCAAAAAATATTGGGGATGGCCTAACATATAATTCAAAAATTAAGGACCCATAATTAAAGTAGAGAGCCTTTGCGTATTAGGAGTATTTCCTTGTAATGGATGAATTCTCTACACGTTGACGTCTCATCTTTCTAGAGTTAGACGTATTTAGAAAACCTCACTTCAATGTTAATTCAATTTATTGACATAATACATTATTTAAGTTATACAGTAGTCTTTTAGAGCTTCAATTTTAGGTTTGAAGTATCAAATTTTAGAGGGCTTTGCTTAATAAGTGCCAGATCAAGATATCAAAATGTTATTGCGAACCATTTAACCAACCATATGAAGCTAAGCTCATGATTGCTTTTTCCTATAATACGAAATAGCAACCAAATAAATAAACTCAACGGAAAACCAGTTTCTACCCGTTTGGACTCATCACAAATATATATCGTCCTTGTCATCCATGTGAACCAAACTTGAGACCTCTTCCAATTAAATAAAGACAAATCAAATATATTATGTTATGGTCATTTAATGTTGTCAAGTTCAAATCCTCTCTATTTTTCTGTTGATTAAAATTGAAAAAGAGTTCAGCTTAAATATTAGTTCCTTTAGCTTGACTGCTTGATAGCAGTATACTGGTTAGAGTTGAGAAAAGGTGTAGATATGCAGTGACAGCCTTTTGGGCCATTGAAGTTGTGTACCAAGGGAAGGGAGCTTTGGGCATAGAAACCCCACCAGAGCTCCAAGAGGCTTGCCAAAAGATGGAGGCAAGGATTGCTTTGGTCAGTACTGCTCTTCTGCGGAGGCTGCAGGTGATTCCAACATTTAGTGAGAATATATGTACGGCCCAGTTTGAGAACAATGTGTTGACGTGAGTCTCCTAATTAATCAAGGAGATTTACTTCCTTGATTAATCAAGGGATTTATTTTCCTATTTTTTATATAAGTGATAAATCATTGTACAATTAGGAGATATTTTCCTAATTCTTTACTATATCTAATTCCTTGTAAAACTCTCATATGTAAACTCCTATATATACCTCCTTATGGAGAAGAATAAAAGCGAACCCAAAGTATTCAAACCATATTTATATTTTAGTATGGTATCAGAGCCAGGTTCTCTTGTGACCTGTGCTTGCATTCTTCTTGTAATTTAAGTGCTCTCCTCCCCTCCTATTAAAGGGGGGGAGGGGGAGTGAAAAAGATCTATTTCTCATTCCCATGAAGATACTGCATATCTCTTTACTCTGACGACCCCTTCTCTTCAAAGGGAGAGGGGGAGGGAAGAGAAGTTGTTTTGTCTCTAACCCCTTATCTCAAATTTCTTCAAATTTCTCATATTCAAATCCAAAACCCTAAATCAAATTTCTCTTCTTTTTTTTTATCCCAAATCCAAATCCCTCAAATCTAAAGTCCTCAAATCCTCTTATCCAAATCCCTAAACACATACCATCAAATCTTATACACATACCTCTTAAATCCAATTCCTACATCAAATTCATACATCAAATTTCTCACATCACCTTCCCCACCTTCTCATATCACATTTTACTTCAGCTGCGATGTCAAGAACCCATACGATTCTCCATCTTATTGCAGACTCACAGAAGCATGCGGTCAATCCTGCTGACCTGGCTACCCAGACTCCTTCTTCTATCACCACCGCCAAAGGTTCTACTCTTCATACGTCCTCCAAGATCAGATATTGCATATGCTGTGAGTGTGGAAGAGTATTTCATGACTAATTTACCAAGTTGGGCATTCGTGACATATATGCACCAACTTGAGGAGGAGTATTGACGTGAGTCTCCTAATTAATCAAGGAGATTTACTTCCTTGATTAATTAAGGGATTTACTTTCCTATTTTTATATAAGTGATAAATCATTGTACAATTAGGAGATACTTTCCTAATTCTTGACTATATCTAATTCCTTGTAAAACCCTCATATGTAAACTCCTATATATACCTCCTTATGGAGAAGAATAAAAGCGAACCCAAAGTATTCAAACCATATTCATATTTTAGCACAATGTGCAATTTCATTTTTTTAAAACCTTTTGATTTTCCCTTTTTTTTAACTAAACTCTTTTCTAAACACTTTTCTTTTTTTTTTTTTTTTTTTTTTTTTTTTTTTTTTTTTTTTTTTTTTTTTTTTAACTCTAATCACTTTTAAAAAATAAAATAAAAATGATCTAAACACTTTTTCCCTATAAATACCCATTTTAATGCATTCAAATTCCACACAACTAACAGTCACCATTCATCTTTCCTTTGCTCAAATTTCTCATTCAACATTGTAATTTCATGTGTATTTTTAATTTATAGCGATGCAATACAATGTTATTTTTAATCTTGTTCAAATATTAAATTAAAACATAAACCTACATTTACACAAAATAAAGTTAACAAATAAAAAATTTAGCTAAATTACATCATAAAAAGTACCTATAGAGTCCTTAGTATGGAGCCCCTCTCATTATGGAAAAGATTAGGGGTGGGCACGGTCTAGTTTGGACCGGTTTTTGCCTCAAATTAGAATCGAATTTAGTACTATTTATCCGGTTTGGTTCGGTTCGGTTTTAACCAAAAAAATCAAAAACTGTCCGGTTTCGGTTTGGTTCTGATCTGGTTCGGTTTTGAACCGGATTATTAAAATTATTTTTTTCAAATTATTTTTTAATACAAATTTCAACTGAAATTTTATTTTTTTGACTTGAAAATTAATAAATTATTTAATTTCATATAAAATAAATATTAAAGCTAGAAAAGAGAGATGTTTTGAAATTGAACTTGGATAAATATTAGTTATGAGATTAAAAATATAGCATTGAATATAAATAAATATTGAGATTATATATTTTTTAATTTGACCGGTCCGGTTCGGCCAAGTCCGGTTTTTGAAGACAAAGAACCGGATTCCAAACCGTTCTGGTTCGATTTTTGACCGGTTTTTGACTTTTTGGTCAACTCGGTTTTTCTTCGGTGTGGTTCGGCTCGGATTTCCGGTTTGCCGGTTTGAATGCCCACCCCTAGAAAAGATACCTTTAAAGCCCAAAATATTTCATCAGAGCTCTAAACGAGGCTCTATCAACAATTGTGGATGGGCTAGCATATAAGCCAAAAAATGAGGACTCAAAATTAAAGTAGAGAGCCTTTGCGTCAACAATGAAGACTTAAACTACGTAAGCATAAGTGATATCGTCTAGACCAATAAGGTCCTCATGATTGATGAAATTGTTTCTTCACCAAAGGTGTATTTCGTTATGGTGGATGAAATGAATTCTCTACACGTTGACGTCTCATCTATCTTCCCCTCCCTCCATGTCCCTTCCTCCTTCTCTGCAACATCATCATCAGGGTGTGGAGGTCGAAAAATCAGCTTCGGCGATGGTGTTCAAGAAGTGGTAGTACTCTGTGGTGCCCTTCTATTATGAGCCGGCTCTAATGGTCTCGTATTTCATTCTAGTGTAGCAGCAAGCATCATATTCAATCCCATTTGGGGTGTGGACATGGGGGTTAGGTCGCGGGAAAGGCTTGGAATGGGGGTGGGGTCTAGGTTGCGACTAAGGCTAGGGTGATCTTTATTTTTTATATTGGGAGTGTGAGGTAAAAGAAAAACTAAAAATAAAAAAATTTAAATATCAAGAAACATGAAGATTGAACATAAACTTCTATTTAAACCAACGTAATTTACATTATAATTTTACAAGCAAAATAACAAGAAAGTAACAAACTTTCAACAAAACATTCCAAACTATCCACAACTCGTTCTTCTTGTTTCCTCGTCACAAACTAAACTTCAAATTCAAAACCTACAATAAATTCAATAAGGGGTGAGCACTACATGCTCAGTAGGGGTCCTATGTCTTATGTGATTAGTGAGATTTGTAATGTACAATTTATGCAATGCATGAATGAACTTCAATTTTTCCCAACCTGTTAATCTATATAATAGAGCAAGCAAATATGCATGTCCCATATCATGCATTTTACCACTGTGATTTCGAATGCCCCATTATATAAACTAGCACCCATCTCAGTTATCGCATAATTCCCCTTTTGCTAGTCATCTTGTCTACATCATTGATCTCCAAGCCCAAATCACTCAATCGACAATTATACCGCCGATTTCCTAATCTACTATGCACACTGGCTCACCTGAACTTGGTCCCTATAATGGTCAGACTCAACTACACAAAAGAACATTCCCATTACCCTCTTTTCCATAATTTCTTTATCAACCCAAGAATTCCAATCACCACCGATAACATATGAACATGTCAATATTAATCAAATTATAATGATAATTGACAACATGTAAAGTGTAAACACCCAATATCAAGGATAATAATCAAATAATATTACCAAGCATAATTTAGTGTTCACAATATTGAATTAAATCAATTTATGTAAAGCTTCCCCAAGAAAAACCCCTACCTCAAATCCAAAGCTATTGTATAACTCCCAGTTGCATGTCCAAACACTTTGAGCTTCTCCAAAATCTCACCACACTTTAGTTCTCACTCTTTTTTTCTGTCTACGATTTTTAGGAAACTAATGCAACTTGAAGAACTTATGATACATGAACTATTAGGTAGGGCTATTTATAGCAAGCTAGAGTCGGCAAAGATATGGATAAAAGCTTAATATTGTGCCACATAACTAGCCTATAGATTGCTAGACTACTTGGGTGGCTTGAAAATAATCTGCCACCCCAAATAGCCTTATGTGTTGGCTTTGTAGAGTGCTTAGCGAGCGCTCTCCAATTAAGTTTATATATATAGGGATACCAACTGTTCTTACACCTCATGCCAATATATATCCCACCTCATACTTTAATTGATTTTGAGGATTCCATATTGCAACACGTCAATCTTTAACAGAAAGCTTAGTAAGCAGACAAAAATCTTTCTAAATGCTTTTGTAAAGTGTGTGTATATAATAAATATTAAATAAGGCTGAAATGAATTGATATGATTAAAACCATGCAATAAGATTTGATAGACTTATACTAGTTAATGTTTAGATTCACGGAACTTGCCATACAACTAATATATATATATATATATATATATTATCAATTATATAGTTTTGAAAATTAATAATTATAAGTAATTAATTTTATGAAATATTAATAAACATATTTAAAAATATGGGGTTTCACAGAGAGAGACATAGAGAGAGAGAGTTTTAGATTGATTTGATTCGGTAAGGAACAAAAGTTTCAAAACAGTGCACCCCATCAAGAGTCGGGGGCAAACCTTGGCAACACATCAAACCCAAGATGAAATTGGGGTTGGTTGGGATTGGAGTGAGGAGGATGAGATGGGGGTGGGGTTGGGCGGGTTGTTTTTGTTTTTGTTTTTTTTAGGGTTACTTTTTGTTGTTTTTTTATATTCTTTTATAGTTTTAAATTAATTTTAAAAATAAAGAAAATTTTGTATTAATTTTTAATCATATATTTTTATTTTTTTAGTTGTTAAAAGTCTTATTTACCTCACAAGTGTAGCATGTTCTGCTTACATGATTAAATTTAACAGAAAATGAACGATAGGACCAATGCGTCAATTAATAAGAGTTGGTGGACTATTTAAATTAATAATTTAATTGAGAAACTAAAATACAACTCTAGTATAAATTTGAGGAACATTTAAGTAAATAATCATATTCTTTGATTTTTCACCATCGTGATTCACGATCATGACTGCGTTTTGTTTTTAATGCACATATTGTCATGATCTGTGGAGTCTTTCTTCCTGATTGCTGCACGTGATGATATAGGGTTTTGTCTTTCCCTCTTTTGCACCAAACTTTTGAGCTGCTCCAAGGGTTTTCCAAGGTCGTGAGCCTAATCACGTCAATATTTTCCTCCTCCAAAGTAGTAGGCATCTCAGTAGGCAAAATATCACGGGCGGGCTGTGGAAGTCTATAGCCTAGGTAAGTTTTGAAGAAAAAACAATAATAAACCTACATCTATATGGCCCACTACTAGAAGTTGGCTGCATTTTGGTTTTTTCATTGCAAAATATGCTGCCTTTTTTTTTGGCCTTTGGTAAAAGGTTTTTGTAGAATAAGAGAAAAAAAAAAAAGGCCTATATGGCCTACCATCAACTACAACACATTAGGGAAATATTATTTTCTCAAGTTTATTTGTATTCTCTTTGAAGAACTAAACAGTATATTAACCTAATTCTATTATTCTTGTGTTTACAACTAATATATAAATAAAACTTAATTATTTATATTTTGCATTTGCATTTGTGACGTTTATTCGGTTGGTGCCAAGAAATTTTAAGAGATTCAAACTACAAAGGCAAGATTTCTTTTATATGAAAAAAAAAATCATTAGAGTGTGAATGATCAAAGATGCTGGGCGAGCTAGGTCACCCCTACAGCTCTTTGGGTTGGAATATTGATTAAGCCTAGCACTCCCATGAACAAGCGCTATATATATCACTGAGCAATAATTGAAGAGAAAGAAAGAAAGAAAGCTTAAAAAAAAAAGACGGAGGAGCTACTTTCACACTTGGCCACTGGGGGGTTGGATTCCTCCAGTACATCCCAATCGGTATTCAATCTTTAATAATAATAACAGGGTATTCACCTTCCAGGTAATTTCAAAATTTATTTCAAGTGTATGCATGTGGCTTGGTAAAGTCATGATCATGTCCTTGAACTAAAATACAAGTAGTGAACTTGGAGTTATATTGTGCGCAAAAAAAACAAAAAACAAAAAATAAAAAAATCCAAAGCTCTCCAGCCAAACATGAATGCTGGGAGGAAAGGGATTCATAATAATGGAGGAGCCGACAGCAGCAGGAACTATTATCCTCAAAATATAATCAACAAAACCAATGGCGCCACAGATGTTCGGATTTCCACCATTGACAGCTCTGATATCGTCTGGACCAATAAGGTCCCCAAAGGTGTATTTCCTTGTAGTGGATGAAATGAATTCTCTACACGTTGACGTCTCATCTTTCTTAAAGCCAGCCACATTTAGCAAACCTCTCTTCAATGTTAATTCAATTTATTGATATATAATATATTATTTAAGTTCAAATAGACTTTTAGAGCTTCAATTTTAGGTTTGAAGTATAAAATTTTAGAGGGCTTTGCTTAATAAGTGCCAGATCAAGATATCAAAATGTTGTTGCGAACCATTTTAACCAACCATATGAAGCTAAGCTCATGATTGCTTTTTCCTATTATTGCATATACGAAATAGCAACCAAATAAACAAACTCAACGGAAAGCTAGTTCTACCTGTCTGAACTCATCATAAATATATATCGTTCTCGTCATCCATATGAGTCGAACCTGATAATGAATGTTAATTTCTGATCTGATGGCGATATGATTACTTATCAATTATATGTATTTATTCATGTATATCCTCCTTGTAATCAAATCATTATTCCTTACCTAGAATATGAGATGTATTGTGTAATCACTTGAGACCTCTTCCAACTAAATAAAGACAAATACCAAAATTGAATTTTAGTTAGAAGTGGAAAAGTTTAGCGTAGACTATCATAGTTGTAAGAGTGTATTTCTTAATAATAGAAAATAAAGGATGATTTTAGCACTCCAAAATGGGGAAAGGAAATGACTGCTACCAGCATCGATCATTCAACTCCATTGGCTGTTGTATATGTATGTGCCATTGTTTATTGATTGCTATTCCTTTTCTGGTAACAATTGCGTTGTTTTATCCCTTTCTACCAGATAACACAATTGATTTTTTTGTGTTTTTTAGCTTTTAAATTGTGAAATGAGATTCACGAAAATAGGTTGGGAAACCCAAATTATTTATTTATTTATTTTATATTTGTATTTGTTTTAATCGTTAAAAGAGGTTCATTGAATGGGGGCAAGAAAAGCCCAAATCAAAAGTAGAGGAAAACTAGCCTAAAACGGGAGGGACCACAAAACGCGTGGGTCAATATCCATCTGTTTCTTTCTTGTTCTTTTTTTTTTCAATTTTTTATTTGGTTCATATAATTAGTATTTTGTAGGTTAATTGTAATGCTATTTTTTTTTCTATGACTTATGAATAACATTGGTGTTGGTTAAATTATAAGGATATTTGGTTGTCAATTTTTTTATTTATAAAGCTTATAGCCCTTAAAATAGTACCTTCATTAAAAAATTATTGGGTCGGCCGATGCCAATGAAACGCCTTCTCGTCCTGATAAGTACCATCGTCGTCGTCAATATAGGAAATTCTTGGTAGGGAATTTTGTTTCAATTACTTATTATTTTTTACATATAGTTTTTTTATATTTGAAATTGAAAAGTTTATTAGGCACAAAATATTAAAGCAGCTAAGAAAACTTTTCAAATTGTCACGTATAAGTCAACAAACTTAAATTTGAAGAATTTGATTTTCTATTACCATGGAAGATGCTCTTAATAATTTGTTGAGTGTGAACATGTCATATGTGTCAGAAAAGTAACGAAGAGGGATCTCCACCAGAGAATTCCTACACCAAATTATTTTATTTTATTTTATTTTTTTGGGGGTCAAGAATTATGTTTTATTAGCATTATTGAAGGGAAGAAACACCCGGGGCCCTTCCAAACCTACCACCACGTGCTCTCGTCCCTACCAATGCTTTTAACACTGTTTTATTTTTTTTATTTTTTTATTTTTTTATTTTTTTGTGGGATAGGAATGCTTTTGACTCTCGTTTTCACTATACAAAATATGCAGGTGAAAAAGACTTTACAATATGTGTACCTATTTCGCATTGAGTATGTGACGTAAGGGATGACATTGGATCAACTACTCGTTTTCATAATAAGTTAGTGAGATTATTGTATGACAATAAAATTGAGGGGATCAGAGCTAAGCGGGTAGGAATTTTCCAGTTTGGTAACACCCGTTGGAATTCAGAGAAACAAAGGATGACAAACGGAGAACCAAACAGATATGCCAAAAAACAAAAAAAAAAAACAAACACCCAACTAAATAAAAAAAAAAAAAAAAAAAAAAAAAAAAAAATTAAAATTTGAAAAAAAAAAAAAGCAGCTATATATCGACAAGCTATATGAGGAGGAGTTCAACATATGAGTCAATTCAAGTGCACATAGATAGGGTAAAAGGGTTTAGTCAGGATCAGCCTCCAGCTCAAACAGTAACACTGATGTTGCGCCCAAAAGAAAATGATAATCCAAAGCTCCAGCGAAAGATAACTGAGGATGAAGAGATGAAAAAGAATAAAGAAAGAGTTAGGGACGGCAGCAGCAGCAACAGAAGGAACAATATTTTTCAGAATACAATTAGAGGAACCAATGGCGCCGCAGATGTTGGGGTCCTCAACTTTGGCAACGTCGTCGTCCAAGGTCAAGGGGGCGGCAAAGGAATGAAGGGCTTCCCTGAACATGGCCGTGGTTTCAACATTTATGACAATACAGTTACAGCAGATGGAGTCGGTACTAGTAAAATTGGGTTTCAAAACTTTGGCAACACCAGATACGAGAAGGAAAGGGATTCAAATTGCGCGCAAAAAAAAAGAAAGTCCGAAGCTCTCCTGCTTAACATGAGTGCTAGGGTAAAAGGGATTCATAATAATGAAGGAGCCGGCAGCAGCAGGAACGATTATCCTGATAATAAAATCACCAAAACCAATGACTCCACAGATGTTGGGATTTTCACCCATGGCAGCTCTGATACCGTCTGGACCAATGCCCGTGGCGGTGAAGGGAAGAAGCCCAAAGGTGTCGGCAAGGACATCTCTGGCAATAAGATTAAAGGAGATGGAGCACCAGATGGGTTTCGCAACTTCAGCAACACGAACAAGACAACTAATGAAGAAGATTACTGCGTCACCAGCGATATTCATAAGAATAGCATTACCGCAGGCAATGGAGCCGAATGTGTTGGGATGGACAACTTTCATAACACCACCAACTTGCTGAGAAATGCCAGCCAAGGCCAAGGCGCCATCGGTCACAACATTTATTCCAACAATATTAGTGCAGATGGATCCGAGAAAGCTGGGTTTAACAACTTTGGCAACACCAACACCCAATATTCGGAGACTACTTAGTACTAAAGATCATGTCGAAGCAGCCAGCTCAGATCTTTAGTACTAGTAGTCTTATAAACTCTAACAGAATAGTCTCTTCTTCCATGCTTTAATCTCAGTCGTATGTAAGAAAGTCAGAGCTCATGCAGCAATCACCGAGTTTATTATATGTATGGAATAAGATTCATGTTATCACTGAGGTGATATCTGCAGGCTGGGTGTGCCTCTTTAATTTTATGCATTACATAGCTTTTGTAATTTGATGAGCAAAATCAAATATATTATGTTATGGTCGTTTAATGTTGTCAAGTTCAAATCATCTCTATTTTTCTGTTGATTAAAATTGTAAAAGGGTTCTGCTTAATTATTAATTCCTTTAGCTTGACTGCTTCATCGCAGTATACTGGTTAGAGTTGAGCAAAGGTAGTAGATATGCAGTGACAGCCTTTTAGGCCATTGAAGTTTTGTACCAAGGGAAGGGAGCTTTGCCCATTCCATAGAAACCCCACCAGATCTCCAAGAGGCTTGCGAGAAGATGGGGCAAGGATTGCTTTGGTCAATACTGCTCTTCTCGCCGAAAAAACATCGCTGACCTGCACTTGGAGAAGGCAGCTTCAGACAGCGTGCCTCTGGTGAAGATTTCAGGGGATGTGGTGAGTAAAGCTTGCTGTGTGTGCTTGAACATGTTGAGGTTGGTTTCTGGAACATAAGCCGTGGAACTCCTGGACACTCTGCTCCAAAACCCTGAAAGTGGAAGCTTGTTGTTACAGTGGATGAAAATAAAAATCACCCTGTCCCTCTTTCACCATGATGATCTGAGAGCAGTAAATATTAGGCATCAGTTGCACATGTGTTATGCAAATAAAACTACATGCATGCAACTGTATTTCTATTTAATTTGTTGGGTTAATCGTTTTATTAGTTCTTGAATTTAAATCCGATTTGCATTTGAGTCCCTTAATTTTCAAAATGATTCTTGTGGTTTATCACTCTCAGTTTCATTAGGACAAATAGTCCTGTCGTCAATTTTGTTAACTTTTCTGTTAAATGCAGGGGCAAAAAGGTGTTTTTGCATCAAAATTAATTAAAATATGAATATAAAAAATTAAACTCTCTCTCCCCTTCTATTCCGATTTCTACTCCCCAAAAATTTTTTTTTTTTTTTTTTTTTTTTTTTTGTTTTTTTTTATTTTTTTTATTGTTATTTTAAAGATATGATTTTTTTTCATTTTAACATAAAAATATCATTTTTGCCCCTGTATTTAACAGAAAAAGTTAACAAAATTGACAGCATGACCATTTGTTCTAACGAAAGTGAAGTTAAAGGACCAGGGGAACTATTTTGAAAATTGAGGTACTCAAATACAAATCGAGTCTAAATTCAAGAACTAATAAAACGATTAATCCTAATTTGTTCACATGTACATATATAAAAGTCCTAAAAGACGGACGAACTAGCAACCACACATTTACATTCATAGCCCCAGCTCTGTCTCCTAGCTAGGTATAAAAGCCAAAATGTCAAATGACGTACGAAAAATGTCTCCATGCTTATCCAGCAGCTCCTTCATCTTTTATATCTTTATATACATACATTAGTTGTATTATATACACTTGTAAGCCTCTCAAAAAAGAAATGGAACCACCCATCTGTTGTAGCCAATATTGTACGTACTATTGTACAGGGCCAATAGTATACAGCACCACACGTGATTGTACTTCTGAAGTGGGCCCCACGTGATTGTATATGGGTAATTGTTTGTAGGGAAAAATTGGAGTAGGTCTACTCTGCCCTTGAAGAGAAGACAGCTGAACAAAAAACAAGAGTCAAGTGCCGATGGTGACGAATTTTCCGACTGGTGATGACCGTCAGCCTCCGCAGAAGAGCACCGAGTCATCATTGCTTAGAGAAAAGACGATGGTACTACTACCTACTATCATAGTTGCGGTTTTGTTTGGGAATACTTGTATAAGAAGCACTTTTGTGATCTAATATCATTTATACAGTTATGAAAATGAATTGAATTATTCATTATGTAATAAAGACCCTTATGTCCAGGAGCAAGGAATATGTGTTTCTAAAAAATGTTTGATACTGAGACATAGAACGAGTACAAACAAATTGAAATGATTGAAGTTTTTCTATTGGAATCATCTTAGGTCTATTTATGGAGAGATGGATAAGATATTCCGACACAACGACATCTTGATACCACCTAGAACGGTAAAAAAGAATGATTTTACAATTAATTCGGTATATCGGCACATAAAATAGAAGTACTATAGACCAACGGAATAGTTCCTATTTGGTAGTATCACAACTTTGGGAACTCATTATTGCAGGGGGCTTCGACCAGTTGTTTTCTTGGTGGATCTTCACAACCTTGCTTGTGATGGGCTCTTGTAGGCTTTTGGGTGCAGGTAGCCTGTAGCCATCTTCTTCGCCTTAATTGGTCACATCTTCATAACCAGCATCAACAAGGTGAAGGTGTATTTGGCCCTTGTGTGAGGAAACGGCATCATATAATTAATATTAGTGTTTGGTTGCCGGGTTAGTAAAAGTAACAAAAAGAGGAGGGGAGTATACATACATTAGACGTCAGAGTATACATACAGACCTTTTATTTTGGGTCGTCAGCTAACCGACCTTGGCTTGGTTTTTCTTGTGTACCCTGCAGTACAGCTCTTTAGTTTGAGCTTATAGCACTTGCGTGAACAAGCTATAGAGCTGAGCAATAATTGAAGAGAAATAAAGCTGACGTATTCTCTTGTGTCACACACGCTAAACAATTACCAACCTTACGTGGCCTTTTAATTACCATGCAATTCAAAATAACTTTGCCTATATAATGCGGGAGGGGGAGGCATGCCAGCACGATTCAAAGGCAAGAGTCAAGTGCCGATGGCGAAGAATTTTCCGACTGATGATAACCGTCAGCCTACGAAGAATATTGCGACCGTCATCCTGAAGCTGGAAAGAGGCGGCACGTTGGATATATGTGGGAATAAAATTAGAGATATTTAGTGATATACCCATTCTTAGTACTAATATTATAGATAAACCCTCTATCATTGAATTTCTATAAATAAACCCAAAAAAAACCCCAAAAATAATAGCTGACCTTATTGAATTTAATATTGATTATTAAATTACTTTAATGCCCTATTGAGTGTTTTGGGTATTTTTATGAGATTTTGGGGTTGGGCTTGTTTTAAGAAATTTATGGTAGTTTTGTAATTTATAAGAAGTTAAAGCCTCTTTGTTATGTTGTAAATGAGTTTTGGGTGTGTTTATAAAGTTCATTTCATATGAGGTATTTTTATAATTTGGGCTCCCATATTGGGTATATTAGTGAATCTCCCTATAAAATTACCGCAACCAATGTCAACGAAGTCGGGATTTCCAACTTTAACAACATGACTGATTACACCGGCCAAGGCGGCGGAGGATGCACGACCGTCCCCAAGAGTGGTCGCAACATTAAGGGCAATGAAATTACTGCACAAGGAGGTAAGGGTATTGGGATCAGTAACTTCGACAACTGTACACTCTACAAGAATTTGAATAACGAAGATGATGCAACAGCTGGCGGGAAGAAGGCCCCCCCTAAGCTCAGCCCCAGCCTCCAACAAGAAGTCACCAGACCATAAGAGGGCCCCCGGTAGCTCAGCCCCAGCCTCCGACAAGAAGCCACAGGCTTGGAAATAATAAATGAAAGTTAACATGACTTAAAGCATTTGGAGAAGGACATTAATAAAATCGTAATATCAGTCTGTTCTTGTGGCTGCGGTGGCATATCTATTGGTGGTGACGGCAGCTTGTTTTGTTTAAGGTTAGATTTTAGGGTTTTAGCTTTTTGTGGGCTTTTGATGTTTTGGGGCTGCTATTTTGGCACTTTAGTTTTGGTTTTTATTTTGCTCTTGTTTATACCAAAATGAACAACCAATGAGAAACTGACACGTGGACAAGATTGGGGTCATGGAAGCCTTCGGCACCCAATTTACCGATTCCCCAATTAGGGCAACCTTGTCCTCCCGTACACGTGGCAGACCCACAGTCGATGTCTACAGTTCCACATCGAAAATCTACACAACAAGCACACCTCCCAAGGTTTATAAAAGAAGCACAATTCCCCAAAATGGAGGTAATCAGAACTTACGGTATACTGCCTATTGATCTGTAGTTCAACTTTACTAAATCCGTAATTACTTAAGCATCGGAAAGCCTTCGGCAAGTACCACACCGGTGTCTTAGGTCTTACCGAACGTTTGTTCTCTTGTAGATCATACGCTCTACCGAGGACCCAGGCATACTGAAGGCGAAGACATCACTAAGTTGCGCGGGAAAGTGCCGAACCATTTTTCTACGTCAACAGTTCTGTTTGAGCCTAGGCAGTAGTCTTCTGTTTAGAGACGGACACGCTCCCCTGGGAGGTGTCGATGCTCTGATCTCTAACTTGATTACTTGTACCTGGTGTCTGTTTGCGTTTAGTTGGCTTTGTTTTTGGGCAGTTGGTAGCCTTGTGGTGTTTTGCACTTTGTTTGCTGTGTCTGGCTATTGGTAGTCGTGTTTCACCTTGATGCGTCAAACTCTTTGATGGCGGTCCAAATGATTAATAATAAGGGGGAGTGCTTGGCGGCTGAAGGGGCGTTGGTGGATGAGGTTCGTCGTCTCATTGCATCCAATGATCGTTCTACTGTTCAGTATGTTTCTCGTAGTGCTAATGGTGCTGCACATCGGATAGCGCGATTTACTCTCTATGATAATGGTCTGTCGTTCTAATGGATTTTGTCCCACATGATTGGCCGGATCAAATTGTTTTTTGCTTATGAATCAAGTTGTAATTCTAGCATGTGTGGTAGTCTATTTCCTACCCTAAAGTTTTATTCCATGTAGTTTTCTTTGGAAAAGTTTAAACGAGGCAACTTCTTACATGCCAACTTTCAGTGTTTTGCTGTTGAGTTGAATGACTCATTCCTCGAACCCTCTCTTATCAACCCAAACAACCTCACAACCTCACAACCACTGCTTGCAGGCAATCCTCTCCTCTCTTACCACTTCCGTCAATTTCCGTCCACAAAACCATTAAGTGTGCTGATGTGGCATATGCATTTTGGTAATTTAAAAATATTTAAGTCTGTTTTTTATATTTAATTTGGATTTTAAAGTTTTTTAATAGTTAAAATTACTAAAATGACCATGCCATGTCAACACACTTAACGGTTTTGTGTAGAGGTGTCAAATGGGTCGTGCCATGCCGGCCCATCCCATTTAAACTCGTGCTTTTAACGTTTTCGTGTCGAGCCGACCCATTTAATTTATCGGGCTGTGCCGTGCAGGCCCATTTAGTAAAATTATTTATCTCGGCCCGACCCAAAGCCCATGTCCATATTGAAACGGGCCGGGCCGGTGCCCGTGCTCGTGCTCGTGCCGTGCCCGTGCTCGTGCTCGTGCCGTGCCCGTGCTCGTGCTCGTGCCATAATCGGGCCCAAGAACCAATCCATTTAATTTGAATTTTTTTCACTTCTTTTTTTTTCACTAGATAATACAAATTATAAACATTAAAAATATAATTAGAGGCAAGAAATGATGAACTATTTAAAAACATTAATCAATCAAACATCCAAACAATATGAAAATGGCAGAGGGCAAAAAGTGTCAAACTCTACAAAGTCCACTTCAACTTTTCATCTTTAAACAACTTATTATTTTATATGTGAAATAATGTCTTGCTTTGATTATAAAAGAAGCATATATGTCATATGTACTGATTAGATATCAAGTCCAATATTGTTTAATTAATTTGTAGTTGATATGTTTAATTAATTAAGGACCCAAGTAATTTCCTTAAAATGAAAGACATCAAATATATATTTATGATTAAATAAATAATGACATTAGATGTCAAATTATTGCATTTTGACTTTTGAGAAAGAAAAAAATGTTAAGTGGGCCGTGCTTGGGCTCGTGCCGTGCTTGAAGCGTGCTCGGGCCAAGCCCGGCCCATGTCGGGCCATGGGCCGGCCTGGTCCATTGGACCTCATTTTTTGATCCCGGCCCGGCCCAAGTTTTCGTGCCGTGCCGAGCACGGCCCATTAATATTCGTGCTCGTGCCATGCCGTGCCTCATTTAAATGAGCTGGGCTCGTGCCGTGCTAGGCCGGCCCGTCCCGTTTGACACCTCTAGTTTTGTGGACGAAAGTGGTTAAGTGAGAAAATTTCAACAAGTTTTAGAGATTCTGGGTTTAAGTGAGAAAATTTCAATTTCATGAGATAAAGTGAGATTGAGAATTCGTTTTAAAGAATAAAACAGTAGTTCACGTGACTTGACTATGGAAAAAGAGAAGCGAAATAATTAGGCAGGCTGTAAACCAAATAAAATAATAATTAGCCAAAGCACTTTCCGCGGACAAAAATTCAACAATTCGAGTAATTTTTAGGTGTTCTCGGTACACCACGTGGCTGGTGTACCATCTAATAGATGGAATATATATGGAATATTTCCAATGCAGTCCACCACATGTCATAAAAAGAAATACAGTAAGTTGAAAAATAATTCCATATATTCTATGTTTATTGAATGGTACACCAGACACATAGTGTACCTGAAACATTTAAAAATTTCTCCAAGCATTCACACTGAAGAAAGGAAAAGACAAATGGGAGTGGCAGCGCAATGGATCCCCCTTATACACGCTTCGCGTACAAACTTTTGCTTTTGAAAATAAAAAAGCACAAATGAAAGGGCCCTATGGGACCTGCCCCGTAGAAGAACTTCTTTCTCTCTCTCTCTCTCTCTCACATTGATGTGACTTGACTATGTGCGCAAAGCTACAAAACCATCCTGGAAAAAGACAAGTGAAATAACTAGCCAAGCATTATACGGGTACAAATATTCAAGCATTCATACACTAAATAAAGGGACGGGCACATGGGAATGGTAGCATTAGGGGTGGGCATCTATTTAGGTCATCTCCAATTCAAATGGGGCTAAAGTCAAATTTCTCCCTTTAGAAATATAATTATTTATGTATTGCCCGGACTCAAATTATTTTTTCCTTCAACCATGCATACTCATAATTTGAGTCCATAACTTTATTAAATTGTTTAAAAATGATTAACCTCTGATATATTTTTTGGGTTCATTTTTCTTCACATTACTTTTATTTCAACATTCATTATTTAATTTTCTGAATATTTTAACCTAAAAAATCCAAAATCCAAAACATAATATAATTTCACTTAAAAATCAAAACATATTAAGATAAACCATAATTACAATTAAGATAAATGATAATCACAAAATTATTTTGGGTTGAATTTGATTTAGAGTAATTATAAAAATTAATTTTACCGTTTGATTTAAATTTCAGCCAATTAATGTGAATTTTTCCCATTGAGATTGCTTAAAAATATGCTGGCCATTGATTATATGTAGAATGAAAGAGAAAAAAACAAAAACAAAAAATTGATACAACAACTTAATGCAGCCATTGGATTGAAACAAATAATTGTTCTGGGCTTGACAAGTGGCGCAAGCAGCATGGGTAAGTTGGCAACAGGTGGTCCATGTAGCTGGGGTCTGCACGTGGCTCCTTGGAAAGTTGGGCCAAATACCGCCCAATATTTCAGTGTGCCTAAAATTCCCCTACTCCCAATATATTTTGGCCGACGTCGGTATAACTAGTTGACTAGACCAACAAAAAAAGAAAAAGAAAAAGGGATTAGGCCATTTGTATATTTAATTAATTTTGTATATACATAAAAAGTAGGCTTAAATGTCAAAATGATCACTGTGTTTTATTGTATTGGCCAATTTGGTCCTTACGTTTTCAATTTGACAAATTAAATCCATATGTTTAGACATGTTAAACAATATGGTATTCTCTTAAAAGAATTAAAAGCTATTAAATAATTATTAAAAAATATAACCATTTGAATTCAATTTAAAAATAAATAAATAAATAAGAACTAAAGAAATAAAAAAGAGATCTAAAACTAGAAAAACTAAAAACAAAAGAGACCACCATCAAGAATATTACTGTATATATCTCTTATTTAAGAATATTTTATACATATTTATATATGGAAGCAAAGAGCTAGCTATCAGATGTTATTCATGGCCCTTCTAGAACTGCTAGTGCATTACATATATATGCAGCGTACGTACATGATTTGGACTCATTCATTCAATCTTCTTCTTCTTCTTCTTCCTCATCATCATCTTTCATCATGTCATGTCGGGCATGCTTAGTACAGTGTTGCCAACATTGAAAACTCTGTTCTGGTACCCTTCGTTTCCACTGATTCGATTCCCAGAAACATTGTAAGACGTACAACTACTTTTGCCATTTTTTCAAGTAGGCCTCGGCTTGGGGTTATAATCAGTAGTAGCAGGATGTCCAAGAACAGGCTATGAGTTTGACAGATGGGCATAGTAGTATCCACCATATAGTTAATTAGGTGGAGTACTGGAGGAGGAGGACGATGAGCATAATTAGTACTGGGATATTTAATACAAGCAGGACTATCAATACGACCCCGTTCCGAAGCTATGCTTGGTATTGTATATAGGCTTACTCGGCGGCTCTAGAGTGTTATTGGTGCTGGACATGCCGCCTCTGTGTGTGTGAGTTGCCGCCTCTGTATCTTGGCGTTTGCTAATTAAGCAATTGTTTTGTAAAGCGAGGAAAAGTCTCCACATTGGTCTTGTTTACACCATAATTAACCAAGCGTGTCTAGCACCAAAGTGACTAACACCAAGGCAGACATGCCTTCTTCCCTGCCAAAGGGAGTTGCTCTTTCGAACGGACAACCACCTGCCGAAGCTCCAAACTGCCAAACCTAAACATAGGAGACACGTGCCATCATCACAGCAACTTGCACAAAGTCCCACATCGAAACTTTGTGCAAACCTCCTACTTTTACTTCCCTATAAATAGGGAACAATAACCAAGAAAAGGAGTAACTTCTCTCTCACTATTACTGTTACTTTGCAACAGTTACTACCCCTAGCTAACTCAAGCATCGGAGAGCCTTCGGCCGGCACCACACCGATGTCCGAAGCTTAACGACTGCTTCTCCTATTTTGTCTTATCCAGGCTAGCCCTTTACTGAAGGCCCAGGCCCTTCTCTTGCTAAAGACAAACCCCTATATCTAAGTTGACCATCTCCGAAAAAGAGCATCAACAGTTTGGCGCCGTCTGTGGGAATCGAATACTTAAAACCCATTTTTTCTCTACCAGCCCAGCTGGCTCTTTCACCTATTCGGCCCCGTCGCCTCTTCTTCACTCCACACTCAGCCATGCCTACTAAGGATAGCCACGATGCCCAGCACAATACCCCTTATGAGGGTACCTCCTAGAAGGGACCGTCGGCGGAGGTCAATCTCCAGGCCGAGGTGGAGCTCCTCCGCGCCAGTGTCGTTAAGATGTCCGAGAGGTGTGACCATCTTCATTCCAAGAACGTTGAGCTGGAGCACGACTATCGCATCTTGAAGCGTAACTAGGAAAGGAACCAAGCCCAGGGCTCCCAACGCAGCCTTACCCAGGAACCTGAGCGCACACAGCCAAACCAGCCAGAGCATTCCCACCATAGTCCCTCAATCCAGCCTAGGCCCAGCAAGGGTAAAGGCCCCCTCCATCCGGAGACGACCAAGTCACGGCTTCTCCGTATTTCCCCGCCGAGAAACCGACCTCATGAACCAACGAAGGTCTATAGGGATTGCAGAGACCATATCCTGGACCGTCAGACGGGACCCCTTCTTATCCCCGTTAATCTCCAAGACCCAAAGGTGACACACCTAGGCCCCCTACCAAAGCCAACCCATGTGCCTGCGGGAAAGGGTATGGGGGACTCGGATAATTGGGGGCATGATTACTCAAATGAGCACGAGTCTTATCACACCGAGGAGTTCGGTGGATCTGACCCTTATCTAGCCCCTAGCCACCCACACACCAGACCTCCAGCACCCGAGACTCTCCCTCATGCCGACCCGGCAATGAGACTTCTCTTTGAGAAGGTCCAACGCCTGGAGAATGAGCAGCAGCGCAACCACCAACCCCTCTAGGCAAAGCCACGACATAGGCCCTTTACCGAACGCATCCTTAATTACCACCAGGAGAAGGAAATCCAGCCCCTCCGCATCACCTTCTACACTGGCACAGAGGATCCCCTCACTCACATACATTCTTTCCAGTCTGCCCTGGGGTGAAAAGGCTTAACCGACGAAGGCATTTGTGGTAATCGTTCAGGCACCCGCTCATTAGCGCATAAAGCCATTAGGCAAGGATACTTCTGGCCCACACTTCACACTGATGCCCACGCCTTCACCTAGAAGTGCGACAAGTGTCAGCGGTTTGCCAATATCCCTCAACTCCCAGCTGAACCTTTAACAACCATGGTCAGTCCTTGGCCATTCGCCCAGTGGGGACTTGACCTCATTGGACCTATGCCCGAGGGAAAGGGCCAAGTCAAGTACCCAATCGTGGCCGTCGACTACTTCACTAAGTGGGCTGAAGCTGAGGGCCTAGCCACCATCATTGCGGCTCACATTGAGACGTTCATCTGGAAAAATATCGTGTGCCGCTTCGGCATCTCCAACGCCATTGTCACGGACAACGGCCGGCAATTTGACAACGCAAAATTTAGGCAGTTTTGTTCCAACCTCAAGATTAAACTTTGCTTCGCTTCCCCAGCCCATCCTCAGTCTAATGGACAGGTCGAAGCCGTGAACAAAATAATCAAGAAGACCCTGAAGACCAAACTTGACAAAGCCAAGGGTTGCTGGCCAGAGCTACTTCCAGAAGTTCTTTGGGCCTACCGCACCACCTTCCGTACTTCAATGGGAGAAACACCGTTCTCTCTTTCCTTTGGTACCGAAGCTGTGGCACCAGTGGAGATTGGCCAGCCACATACCGAACCTCCACTTATGAGGCCGAGGCCAATAACGAGCAGTTGACCCTCAGCCTCGACTTCATTGACGAGCTTCGTGACCAGTCCAACATGCGCAACGTCGCGTACAAACAGCGTATTGCCAAGTACTACAACTCCAGAGTCAAACCCCGAGCTTTCACAACTGAGGACTGGGTCATGCGCAAGGTTTCCTTGGCCACTAAGAATCCTAATGAAGGTACCCTAGGCCCTACGTGGGAAGGTCCCTATGAGATCACCAAGGTTAGCCGCCCCGGGGCTTATCAGCTTTGGGATCCCAAGGGCAAAACCTTGCCTCATCCTTGGAACGCTGACTATCTCAAGTACTACTACAAGTAAACATACCTAGACCCTAGGACATTATGTTTTCTTATACTTCGGTCTTGAGCCTTAACTCAAACCTACCATTGTACTTTCTGCCTTTCGGCACGCATCTAATAAAAACACCCAACTGGGTCCTATTTCTACTCATTCACACTTCAGACGTTGGTAGAATGCATAAAGCAAAAAGATACCATGCTATCATAAAAATCAAAGTAACCCTGCCTTAGGGCAGGGCAATATCCATACATGTTAAAGACTACGTCTGAAACAAATGGGTACATCATAACAAAAATATACACAAGCGCTCAGGCATCAGCATGGTCGTTCGCCTCCTCCACGGCAGCTGTGTCAGGATCCACGGTCGACTCCCCTCCGCTAGCATTGGCACCTCCCCTTGTCTCGGCCTCAGAAGGACTCGTGGCCTCGGCAGACGGAGTAGCTGCAAACAGTGACTCTCGACCGGAAGGAATAGGAGGGGGAACACCACTGGTGTCGAAGTTTATATCCAACTATAGATTAAACCTCGCAACCAGTTTCTCCCACCCATATTGCTCCTCGACCATTGCGTCCAGCACAAGGCTCTTGAACTTGTCAGAGCCCTGATACTCCTCCACAGCCTCGGCACGAGCGACGCTCAGCTCCTCGGTCCTCCTCCTCTCAGACTTGAGCCTAGCCTCCTCCACCGCCTCTAGCCGCCGGGCTGTCTCCTTTAGCTCCCGCTCTAACCTCCCCACCTTCAGCTGAAGCGCATTCCTCTCCTGGATGGCAACCTGAGCCTCGGCAATAACGGCTTTAGCTGTCTCAGAGTGGCGTCTCGCCAAGTCTACCTCTCTCCGCCCTGGCTAGGGTGAGGTACATATCCCTAAAAGCCTGCAAGAAAGATATGTTCATAAGCCAGACCACTTCATAACTGCACTACTAGGAGAAGTCTGTGGCCTTGGTCCGAGCGAGCTCCCCTGCATCAATCTGTACCCCAGTCAGGAAGGCGTTGACAAGAGGCACTTCCTGGCGATGCATGGCCAGGGTTACCTCCTTCGCCTCCCGTCGAACCGAGGCAAAGTATATATCCTCGGTACCTGCACGGAATAGCTCCTCCATCTCGGGCGGCAGCATGGGTGGGGGATCTAGGTCGAATAGCGACAGCACTGTTCTGCTTTTCAGCAGCCCGGGCTGCTGTCCCCTCGGCTGTGCTGGGCGCACCCTTTGCTTGCTTCTTGGTCCTCTTGGCCCTATCTTTCTCTCTTCTCTATGGCAACTTTCGTTGCCTCTCCTTCAGATCCACCACTATCTTCGGTGAATCCTCAGCCACGGTCACCACCTTCTTCGGCACCTCAGCCACTGCAACCACAAAACCAAAGCAAAGGTGAGCACATATACAAATACAAACATACAAAAGGGAGGGAGAAGGCCAATACTTACTTCCTTGAAGCAACCTCGATTGAAGAAGAAGAGCTGGTGTCACAATATTCTTCAGCTCACGCGCTTCCTGGGGCACCTGTCTCCTCACCAGCTCTATCTCTTCCTTTTCCTCCCTGGACACTGGCCTACACTTCACAGAACCTGCACATGAACCAAGGCGTTAGTTTTCACAAGCTTCGGACGACAATACATGTTCATACCAACACATTCAACACAAAGACAGGAGTTATAACCAAAGACCTATAAATTGAAATTGGGTGGGCACATGTTTGCTGACAATCGTCCTAGGCCAGCACTCCCAATCACCGAAGGTAAAGAACCACCGATTTCGCCACGTCTTCTGCAACGATGGTGGTTGCCCTATAAAGTATCCTCTCTCCTTCGCGTTTCGACATTTGACCTGCACCCAGCCAAAGTTGCCCTGTTGCCTGGACATTGAGTACAGATGCATGAACTGCTCAAAGGAGGGCTCCCCTCGCTTTGCCAACCACCATGCTATGTACACCTCGTGCAGTATACACCATAAGTTGGGATTATACTGCCCAGGGGCATAGCCCAATCTGGAAAGCATCATTTGCACCCAAGGATGCAATGATAACCTCAATCCATGTTTGTACATGGCTGAGAACACCATAACGCAACCCTCGGGAGGGTATCTTGCCGCTTCAGCAAGTATGGGCAACCTCAGCCCCACACACTCAGGTATAGCGTAATCTACCTTCAGCGACTCTAGATCATACAGACTCATCATATTTTTCTTCGGTAGTGGAACCCTTATTGGAATGCCCACATCGGCGGATGCTACTACCACAATACCACACCCTGATGGCCCTGCTCGCCCACTTGCACTAGCCTTTGGTGCCTGGGTTATCCCCAACACCCGGTTTGCACAAGCTTCTAGGGTCACATAGTTTCTTTGCATTTCCCTATAGGCTTCCCCCCCAGAACTCCTTAACTGCTCTTCTCCCCCAACCCTACTTCCCTCCACTATCAGCCCTTCCATCACACGTTCAAACCCAGTACTTTCCCCATCAGTACCCAAGTCTTCATTGTGGCTACCATTCTCAAACTCTTCCCCACTGAAGGTATGGGGACTTGGGGAGCTTTGACTTTCTCTTTCAGAATTATCAGACATCTACAAACACAAAAAAGGGAAACTAAGAGGCATGCGAAGATTGAAAACAAAAGCCTAGGCGTGTTCTTCATATGTTCATGGAAGTTCATCTACGTTCATACCAAATTCATGCAAAACTTAAGCAAAAGAGGCATTTCAATCCAGAAAGGGAGAAAGAACACAAGGCATACCTTGTTATCACCGCCGTACACGGTTGCCGAAAATCGCCTGGCTCACGAAAGTATCTTTTCACGCCTTGCCGGAAATCGCTCCGTCGTACCCGAACCTTATCGAAAATCCCCCTTGCTCGTCTACTCAAATCTTACGAAAATTCCAAGTGCTCACTCCTTCAGCCCTCCAGAATCTTTTAAAGGCATACGAAGTAACCCTCGCGACACGCGATGACGTCATAACTTCCCTTCGGAAGGCTCCCTTCCGAAGCTTGGAAGGAACCCTCGCGACACGCGATGGACGTCACACCTACGCGATGATGTCACACCTTCCCTTCGGAAGGCCACCTTCGGCACCCCCATGACCGAAGCCCAAACAAAAAAAAAAAGGGTGTCTTCTAGTTTTCAAACTTGGGGGACTAGGGGACTACCTTCGGCACCCGCTACACTGACACGCTTGGTTTAATTACACAACCTCTTTACAAGTTCCCAAACCAAAAGCCACTTCTTGATTGACAACTTGGGGGACTACTGTTTACACCATAATTAACCAAGCATGCCTAGCACCAAAGTAACTAACACCAAGGCAGACATGCCTTCTTCCCTGCCAAAGGGAGATGCTCTTCTGAAGGGACAATCACCTGTCGAAGCTCCAAACTGCCAAACCTAAACACAGGAGACACGTGCCATCATCACAGCAACTTGAACAAAGTCCCACATCGGAACTTTGTGCAAACTTCCTACTTTTACTTCCCTATAAATAGGGAACAATAACCAAGAAAAAGGGTAACTTCTCTCTCACTATTATTGTTACTTTGCAACAGTTACTACCCCTAGCTGACTCAAGCATCGGAGAGCCTTCGGCCGGCACCACACCGGTGTCCGAAGCTTAACGACTACTTCTCCTATTTTGTCTTCTGCAGGCTAGCCCTTTACTGAAGTCCCAGGCCCTTCTCTTGCTAAAGACAAACCCCTATCTCTAAGTTGACCCTCTTCGAAAAAGAGCATCAACAGGTCTCATTACCAACGCCTTCCGCCAGAGCCTGGTTTACCTGTTACCAAAGTTCCTGTGCCCTTTGTTTCCTGTTAATTTCGTGACATGTGGCAAGCCACTTAACACTACTTAACTATGTTAACTCTTTTTGCTTCTTTTTTTTGTTTTTTTTTTGTTGCTTTTTCTCCCTGTTCTGCCCCTTTCTCTCTTCTCTCGTTCCCCCTCTGCCCCTCCCTCCTTCGTCTCCCTTCCTCTCCTTCCTTTTTTGTTCTCTTTTCCAGATTTCCACCTCCACGTTCTCTCTCTCTCTCTCTCTCTCTCTCTCTCTCTCTCTCTCTCTCTCTCTCTCTCTCTCTCTCTCTTTTTGTTTTTTGCTTTTGCTTTGTTTTTCTTTTTCTCTCCTCTCCTTTTTTATTTCTTTTCTTAGTTTCTCCTTCACCCCCTTTTTCCCTACCTTCTCTTCTCTCTTCCGCTCCCTTTTTCCTTACCAGCCCAAAATAACACATGGACTCGAGCCGAAACACCAGCCCTAAACCCTAAACCCTCTTCGTTTTCTCTCGCCTTCAACAGCAAAGCCAAAATCTTCGCTAGTCTTCAACAAGGCAAATCTTCGTTCGTCTTCAAAGATTTGTCTTCGCTGTCGATAAACATGTAAGAGCCTTTTCAAATTGTGTTTTGACATGGACAGTGAACTATCAGTTGTGCTTACCCAGTACCAATTGATTGTTAACTAGCATTTCTTTATTGGGAATTTGGACTCTGATCATTGAATCTCAAATGTGTTCCTCTCTTCCCCCGCCACTTTTTTTTGAGAGAGAGAGAGAGAGAGAGAGAGAGAGAGAGAGAGAGAGAGAGGAGAGAAAAAGAAAAGGGAGTTTCACTAATACACCTAAAATAGGGGCTGAAATTATAAAAAAACTCAACATGAAAAACACTTTAGAAACACACCCAAAATCCATTTATTAAACACACTCAAAACCCATTTATAAACACACCCAAAAAATATACAATTGTTGATTTTTGGGTTGATTTTAGGTGTGTTTCTATGTTTAAACAGTGTTTAGGTTTTTTTATAAATTCATGTCTAGGATTGATTTTATTTATAAATTTGTAAAAGAAAAACCAAGCAAAAGCAAAAACAAAAAAAAAAAAAAAAAAGAGAAAGAAAAAACGTGGTGGTGTGAGATTTGGAAAAATATTAGTTATAAGATTAAAAATATAACATTTTTTTTAAAAAAAAAAAAAAAAAAAAAAAAAAAAAAAAAAAAAAAAAAAAATTTATACACAACTGGTCCAGTTTGGTGCGGTGTGAAATTGAAATCAGAATCTATTGGAACCGATTCGGTCCTATTTGATGCCAGTTTATTGACTTTTTTAATTAACTAATTTTTTCATTTGGTTTCCGATTTTCCAATTCCGATGCCCAATGAACTTCGTCGGTGCGCTGTAAAGCTGTCAAAATAACAAAACCAGTCCATGTGCAACCATTCACTTATATAATGATTATTGGGATGTCTTTGTCAAATACATGATGGATGAAGAACATGGGAAACAAAGGATGGTGCTCGAGACAGCTTTTACAGATTTCTATGATTTCTTTAATGGATAGAAATCTGAAAAGCATACACCAATTCAGTGTAAACGGGGGGGACCACAAAACGCGTGGGTCAATATCCATGGGCCCATAGGTTTGGCATCCAGACAACAAAGTTGACAACGGAGAACCCAAGACAAATAAAGAATTTTGATACTTTTCTCACATCCCTTTCAATTGTATCATGATAATACAATATAATTATAATAATCCTCAGTTACCAAATTTTTTCATGTATAAATATAGTAAAAAAAAATGGTAAGTTTAGCATTACCCTAGTAGTAGTGTTCATGTGCTAATTTGTCAGTAATTGTAAAGTGTGTCAAAATGAATGATTAACATCATATTAACTTATTAACTAGTTAACATTGATTTAAAGATTAAAGCCTCGCTTAAGCATTTAACCTTACAATTCGAGGGGTTTTAAATAATTGACTTTTTGTTGGTCGGAAGCATATCCTCTATATATATATTGATGATGATCACGAAACACATGATATTTATGTTAATAGTTGTTGACAGCGTCAAATGATGCGAAACAAGTTGGCAAACATGAAAGATGCTTCTTTTTATGTTAATAGTTATTTCGCTTCTTTTTTAGGAAAATTAGGTGTTAGACATAATTAATTTTATTAATTAGTATTTGAGACATTGTGTATTTTAGTTTGAATTTTAATACTCAAGAAAAAATTGTTATTTTGAATTAGGGGAAAGAGAAGGTCCAGATTCATTGGGCCTGTCTAAATTATAAAGATAAAATACAATTTTACCCTTTTTCAAAGAGCCTTTGCCAAAACCAGATCTATCTCATGAGTCCAGGGGGGACTCCGTTCTCAGAAGGAGACGGGAAGATGCAGATGCGGGTGAAATCAAAGCCAGAGTTCTCGCAGAGGGAGCTTTCTTCTCTTTTTCCACATAGTCAAGTCACGTGAACTAGAGCAATTGTTTTGTAAAGCGAGGAAGGGTCTCCACATCGCCTTCCGCCATATTCCTTTTGGAAAGGCTTTAAACCTTGTTTACTGCTTTCCATTCTCTTTCTTTCTAAACTGCTTAATTGGACCCTCAGGTGCAACTTAATTAAACCCATCCATAATCTACAATATCAGATTATCTTTCTTCTCCAAAGTTTTCATCTCAAATATCAGATTTGCTTTAATTATAGCTCTGTGCATTCAGAGAAACAGATATGGACTCCATTAGATCATTAACATCTTCTTCTTCTTCTTCCACTTATTCTGTTGCTGCTGTTGATACTGATATCCCCCCTCTTGAAGAAAAGTATGATGTGTTTATCAGCTTCAGAGGTGATGAAACACGCGATTCTTTTACCAGCCATCTTCACAAGGCTTTACTTCGGAAGAACATTGAGACCTTCATGGATGACAGACTTGAGAAAGGAGACGACATTGGACCTGCCCTTCTAGAAGCAATCGGGAGATCGAAAATTGCACTAGTCATTTTCTCAAAAGAGTATGCTTCTTCCACTTGGTGTTTGAAAGAACTTGTGCATATACTTAGATGCAAGAAAAACCATGGAAAGATTGTTATACCCATTTTTTATCGCATAGATCCATCAGATGTACGAAAACAGCAGGGAACTTATGCACTTGAAGATCGTCCACTTAAGCGCAGTAGGGATGAGGTGGCCAACTGGAGGGCTGCTTTGGAGGAAGCAGCCAATATTTCTGGGTTTCATGATTCAAGAAAAACAGGGTATACCATATCTCTAGCCTGTATCAATTTCTACTTGTTATCATTTGATTCATACTTACTCATACTATTGTTTGTCTTTCATAACGATATTTGCCAGGAGGACAGAGGCCGATTTTGTTGAGGAAGTTGTTCAAGATGTTTTGACAAAAGTGAACATGTCTAGGGGAAAAGGGTTTAGTCAGGATCAACCTCCAGCTCGAACAGTAACACTGATGTTGCGCCCAAAAGAAAATGATATTCCAAAGCTCCAGCGAAAGATAACTGAGGAAGAAGAGATGAAAAGGAATGAAGAAAGAGATAGCGACGGCGGCAGCAGCAGTAAGAACAATATTTGTCAGAATGAAATTACCGCAACCAATGGCGCCACAGATGTTGGGGTCTCCAACTTTGACAACTACGCCGTCCAAGGTAAAGTGGGCAGCGAAGGAACGAAGGGCTTCCCTGGACGTAGCGGTGGTTACAACATTTCTGGAAATAAAATTAAGGCAAACAAAGCCAGGAATGTTGGGGTTCACAACATCGGCAACACCACATACAGCGTGCCTTTTACCACTGAGGAGGATCATGATATTCCAAAGCCCCAGCGAAAGATAACTGAGGAAGAAGAGATGAAAAGGAATAAAGAAAGACAAAGCGACGGCAGCAGCAGTAGGAACAATATTTGTCAGAATGAAATTACCGCAACCAATGTCGCCACGGATGTTGGGGTCTCCAACATTGACAACTACGCCGTCCAAGGTAAAGTGGGCAGCGAAGGAACGAAGGGCTTCCCTGGACGTAGGTGGTTACAACATTTCTGGAAATAAAATTAAGGGAGACAAAGCCAGGAATGTTGGGGTTCACAACATCGGCAACAGCACATAAAGCGTGCCTTTTACCACTGAGGAGGATCATGGAGAAGAAGCAGAAGGCGGCTCCAGTCCACCAAAGCCACAAGGGAGGCCCACCGGCTAACTCATCATCGATCATATGCATGGGGAAAATTAAATATGAAAATATATAAATAAAAGAGTAATCTCTTCTTCCATGTTTAATTTTATGGGGAATGCTACACTACTACGTTTCACTATTTGCGCGACGAAACATTGCGCGACGAAGATCAACTCGTCGCGCAAACAATAATTGCGCGACGAAAATACATTTTCGTCGTGCAATGCACTGAAAATTTGCGCCACCAAACTCTTTCGTCGCGCAAAATGTATATGCGCGACCAAAAACTTTTTTCGTCGCGCAAACTGAGTTAAAAAAGAGCGGGGAATTTTTTTAGCGCGAAACATTTGCGCGACGAGAAATATCGTCGCTGAAGGCAACATTGCGCGACGAACAAATTATCCGTCGCGCAAATAGGACAGTCCCCTGATTTAGCGCGACGGAAAGACGTTTCGTCGCGTAAGAGAACAAGAGATATTTTATTTTTTGGCGCCAAAAATGACCTGGGTGGGATATTATTTTTTTTTGCGCGACGTACTGACATTTCGTCGCGTAAAGTTCAACGTTTACGCGACGAATACCTTGTTTTGCGCGACGGAATTTTGTTTTTGCGCGACAATGTTGCGCGACGAAGGTTTGCGCGACGAAAAGTACCAGCGTCGCGCAAAAGTTAGATGTCGGCAGGTGTTTGCGCGACGAAAAAAGGGTTTGCGCGACGAATAATTTGGTTTTTTGCGACGGGACTTTGCGCGACGAATAAGTATGTTCGTCGCGCAAAGTCCTTCTTCTTCATATTAGAATTCTGCCATTGCAGAGGCAGAATGCAAAAACAAAGCATTCTGCCTCTGCCTCTCTCTCAACCTCTCTGCTGCTGCTAGGATTTCAATACATTGATTGGGTAAGTATTTTTCGTCATTAGTTTAAAAGTATTAATTTAAGTTCGTACTAAGGTTTTTTAATTTGTTTTCGTTAGGGATATTTGTAATTAGCGATTGGTGGAGAACGATTGAGAAGGTATTTTATTTGTTTTATATATGTTTAAAATGTTCTTGTGAAGTTATATTTATATTATGTTGTGCGTAACGTAGTACAATCTGTTGTGATGTACGAAGTTAATTGAAATTAACTTCGTGCTTTTATTTTTATGTTTAGTAACACTTAGTTTCCCGTTCGAGATTAGTTGGATTTCGTGCATGGATGCGTAATGCATGACTGCGGTCCAATTAATTCTTGAATTGTCCCATTATTTGGACAGTTTGGTAATGCATAGTGTTGTCACGTAATCTATGGCTACAGGATTAGGTTTCGATTGTGGATATTTCGTTGTCATCTCGGTACGTTCTTCGGGTGGTACATAGGTATTTATACCTATGGCCACCTCAAGAACTGTAGCGAGATGCTGGCGAAATTCATCCACGTCGAAATCTAATCTCATGTAGTCGTAGGTTACGTGGCAGGAGTATGCATTCCCGAATGGGATAGGACCCTTACCGGAGGCATAAGGTGACATTATAACTTCGTATGAAGTTGTTGTGATTGTTGTGTTGTGATTCTGGTTTCAGGAATTATGGACAGAAGGTGGATACAAAACCCTAACAGATGCGCAGACGAATACTTGGATGGAATCGAGGATTTTATTGAGTTTGCACGTAGACACAACCCGGGTGCAACTAGAATCCGTTGTCCTTGTAGGAGGTGCAACAACACGTTATGGGAGACAATTGAAAATGTTGGATTTCATTTAGTAAGAAATGGAATGATTGAGACATATAGCATTTGGAACCTTCACGGGGAACAATTAGAGCATGCTTCGTCTTCAAATGCCACAAGAGTGGACAATGTTCAACCTATTGTGGATGCTAATGATGAAGTCATGGATATTATACAGGATGTTTTTCCATTTGCATCGACCAACATGAATCAAGAAGAGCAAGATGATGTGCCTACACCAATAGACAGTGCGGAGTTTGAACAATATGAGAAATTGTTAAAAAATGCCAACCAAGAGTTATACCCGGGGTGCGAGAGCTTTTCCGTTCTCACGGCCATTGTGGAGCTAATGCACGGAAAAATAAAGTATCGTATGTCGAACCTGTGTTTCGATTACTTTTTGGGGGTTTTCAAGAGAATGCTTCCGACGGACAATTGTTTGCCGAAAGACCATAAACAGGCGCAGAAGGTGTTGAATGGTCTTGGATTGGGTTATGAAAAAATCCATGCTTGCAAAAACAATTGCATGTTATTCTACAAAGAGCATGAATCGTTGGATACATGTCCTATATGCAATGAGTCGAGGTTCAAGATGACATCTCAGAATAGGACGACTAAGATCCCACAAAAAGTCATGCGTTATTTGCCCCTGAAACCTAGGTTGCAGCGATTGTATATGTCGACGCATACTGCCACAGACATGAGATGGCATCAGGAAAAACGGGTAGACGATGATGTGATGCGGCATCCTGCAGATGGGGAGGCATGGAAAGAGTTCGATCGAACGTTCCCAGAGTTTGCTGCTGATCCCCGAAATGTTAGATTGGGACTTGCCACTGACGGATTCAATCCGTATGGGGTTCTAAACCAACACCACAGCACTTGGCCGATTTTCGTATTCCCATATAATTTGCCGCCTTGGAAATGCATGAAAAAGAATACATGATGATGACTGTTTTGATAACTGAGGATCCTGGGAGGTCAATCGATGTTTACTTAAGGCCGCTGGTTGATGAGCTAAAGGATTTGTGGACAAACGGTGTTCGCACGTACGATAAATCAACTGGGAAGATGTTCACTTTGCGGGCAGCAGTTATGTGGACTGTGAATGATTTCCCAGCATATGCAATGGTTTCTGGGTGGAGCACAAAAGGTTATATGGCATGTCCTGTATGCAAGGAAGATGTAACTTCTGGTTGGCATGCTGGAAAAGTTTGTTACCTTGGTCATCGGAGATGGTTGCCATGGGACCATGAGTGGAGGGAAAAAGATAAAGAGTTCGACGGGAACACTGAGCGTCGCCTTAGACCCAGAGAATGGTCCGGTGATGAGATATTGGACCAGCTGAACCGGTTGGATTTTGCTCCCTTCGGGAAAACAGTTAGTCGTATCAGACCTTCTACACATATGAACTGGACGCACAAACCTATGTTTTTTGAGCTCCCATATTGGTCGAAACTAAAATTGAGGCACAATCTAGATGTGATGCATGTTGAGAAAAATGTATTCGACACATTGGTGGGCACGATTCTAGATATCGAGGGGAAGACAAAGGACACGATCAAAGCTCGTCTTGATTTGGAAAGAATGGGCATACGAAGGGGTTTATGGATGAATAGGGACAATGATAAAGCTAGAAGGGATCTTGCATTCTTTTCTATGAAACCGAATGACAAGAAAGAGTTTCTAAAGTTTGTATCGTCAGTAAAGTTTCCCGATGGGTATGCTTCTAATATCGCACGTTGTGTGAATGTTGACGGGGGTAAATTTACTGGACTTAAAAGCCATGACTGCCATGTGTTTATGCAACGCCTACTTCCTGTTGGTATTCGACACCTATTGCCGGAAGATGTAGTGAAGCCAATCATTTTGTTGTCCAGATTTTTTTCCCACCTGACGGCGAAAACTTTGCGAAAAACGGACATGTTTCAGTTGCGCCATGACATTGTCCAAGTCCTATGCAAGTTTGAGATGATATTTCCTCCAGCTTTCTTCACAAGTATGATGCACGTGATGGTTCACTTGCCAGAAGAGGCATTACTTGCTGGTCCTGTCAACTAACGCTGGATGTATCCAATAGAAAGGTATATAATCCTTATCATTTGTGTATGCATCATTATCACATGCTTGCTAATTTCAATCATATCGTTTTATTTTGGCAGGCTTCTCGGAGAGCTAAAAAAAAGTGTACGCAACAGGGCGAAGCCCGAAGGATCAATCGTAGAGGCTTGGGTTCAATATGAGTCGCTTACTTTCTGCGGAATGTATTTAAAAGATGTGGAGACGGTTTTCAATCGTCCTCAGCGCAATCATGATGGAGGTATGAGAAATGAAAAACTTTCTGTTTTTGCCCAAAGCGCACGACCCTTCGGAGATCCTGGACGCGGAGAGTCGTTTTCTAGAAATGACATGGAGGTAGCGCATTGGTTCGTACTGAACAATTGTGATGAGATCATGGGATACTTATATGAGCATGAAGAGATGATGAAGCGAGAACATCCATCACATTTGGTTGCCCAGAAACACCGTGAATTGTTTCCACAATGGTTTTTGGATTCTGTAAGTTATCAGTGTTTGTTATTTGAGAAATATAAATTTTTTTAATAAATTTTGTCCGACTAACATATGAATGGTTTTGTATAATATTAGGTGAATAAGTTGAAATCATCGAATTCCCCAACTTACAGTGATGAGTTATATAACTTGGCGTTTGGCCCGATTCGCGCTGAATTGTTCTCGGGTTGTAATGTCAACGGTGTCAAATTTTTGGCCGAAGCACGAGATGACAAGTTGTGTACGCAAAACAGCGGTGTCCATGTCCCAGGTGGAGGCGAAAGTACGGACATTGATTTCTATGGCAAACTCACAACTGTCGTGCAATTGCTTTACAAAGATCGATACCAAGTGATCATGTTTAAGTGTCGATGGTTTGACACCAACCCAAATAGGCCGGGAAGTGTTAAAATCGATCATGGCTTACTATCTGTGAACATGAACAGAACTTGGTATGATGACGACCCTTATATTTTGGCAAACATGGCAACACAAATTGTGTATCTAGATGACCCTAAAGCCGGAAGCGGTTGGAACGTTGTTCAAAAGATGGATCACAGGAACGTGTATGCTATACCAGAACTAGACCCAACTGACAACAACGTCAACAATG